ACCCAACAATTATTTTCTGGGAAAAATACGATTATTTTGAGGGAAAAATAATTGTAACACGATAATAACGCAATAATTGTAACAATAAGTGTAAAATAATCGTATTTTTCCCAGAAAATAATTGTTGGGTGACGATTCCCCGTACCTTTTTGAGCTTGCCGCTCCTCAAATTTGTCAGAAATTTGTGATTTTAGGAACCTGCGCGACTATAAAAAATTCTAATTTTTTTATCCAATTTTCCTCATTTGTGGGAGGTTAATTTGAGACAATAAATTTTTTTCCTGAAATATATCCAATTTATGAAAAATCGAAGAAAAATCTTGGGTTCCGGGGAATGGTAACTTTTGTCTAATAGGGTACCGGGGAATCGAAACCCGCTAAATCCTGCGACAAGTGGGTTCCGTTTCCCTGTAACTTGCATAACTAAAAAGTCCAGGGAATCGGAACTTTTGGGTGACGTTTCCTAGGTACTAAGTTCCAATCCCCCGGCACTTGAACCAGACTGACATGTGTGCCCCTGGGTTAAATTAAATTTGCCCTTAGCAAGGCGTATTTGAAGTTGTCAAAAGTTGTCAAAAAGTATCTTTTTAAAAGTGCCTTTTTCCTGTCGCATATTTCGGTTACAAGAAATTAAGAATGTACCAACTCTTTACGTACACAGAATTTCCCACAATCCAACAAAAAAAGTACAGTAGCAATATACAAAAATGTTGAAAAAATTTGGTGTCAGCTAATTTACATATGACGGAATTGTAAGTAAAAATGCGAAGGCATGAAGTGATCGTCTCCGATTTTGACCTTGCAAATTTTAAATTGCTAATGCAGAGAAATAATTCGACCCATACCTTTAGGTTTTCTTTAATGAGCCTAATTTCGGTTTTAAATGAATTTTTAAATGCAGTATCGGTTAAAATCAGAATCTTGCATATTAACTAAAATTCGAAAGTCAAACTATTAAATGAAAAATTACACAGAATGTTTGCTCTAAATCTATACAAAAGTGTAAGCCAATGAAATTCATATAAAAATAATTACACAAGAAAAACAAATGAGATCTACCAGCTCAACGTTAGATGTAAAAAAATTTATTTGCGTGGAATAATTTTTTTGTAAAATCTTTAATACTAAAAACAGTCCATTATATCTAGTGTAAAGTTAGCGACCCGGCCCGGGCCCTTGCGGGCCCCGGGCCTGGTATTTGGTACCACCATATACCACTGTTGTTACGGTACTGAAACGGCGTAAAGTTGTACGACAGGGTGAAAACCTGGCTAAAGTTTGGCGATATATTCACCGTCACGAAGCTCCGCAATGATATTTCTGGTGGACTCGCTATTTTCACGTTTGAAGTAAAAATGCATTTAAAAACAATTCATGAAATTTGAATAATAATTAATTTCGTGGTAATTTTAGAAACGGAGTTTCCATGAAAATTGGGATGCGGATGCCTCTAAGAAAATTTGCGTTTCCGAGGATGCAACTGAATCAAATTTCACACTGGATCGAAATTATGTGGTACGAGAAATTTTTAAATACTTTCCGCCTCTAATTCCATCTTACATAATTTCCAGATTTTCTCCAAAATTCTGTCCAAACTCGCCGTCGGAAGCTTGAAGAACGCTCGACTAGTTTGTCAACACTGGGACGAACAAGTGATCCCAATTCTGCGAAAGAAATTCGCCATAAATTTGGCTCATCCCAACGCTTCATTGAATTTTTTGCGCTACGTTCGTGACATGAAGGAGGTCAGAAAATGGCCAAACTGGAAGATAACCTTTCCAACCCTTCCAGTCGAAGAGGATGACCCGGGAAACAGGAGAGACAAGTATGTCACTGATCTGAACTGGTTTCTTCAGCCGGAAAGGGAACACCACGTCAAGACTTTATCCTTAAAAGAGAACATCAAATCCGACCACGACTACAGGTTATATCTCGACACGGTTTCTCAATTCAGGGACACCTTGGAAGAACTAAGTCTCAACTTGGAAATGCAAATTTACGACGCTGATGACGCCGAGAAGATATATTCATGGGAGCCAGGCCTATTTTTCAGCAAATTGAGGAAGTTTTCTTTACAACTAGATGACCCTTGCGACTCATATCCGGACACAGTGACGGCGTACTGGATGGAAACTTGGGCACAAGCGATTACACGGGTGAACTCCTTGTCCATTGGGCGTTCGTTTCCTGGGGTCAAGATTTGTCCAAGCGTTAGAAATGAGAACTTCGCAGTATCAAAATTTGACGGAGATTCTGCTAACTTGCAAAGCAGAGGATGGCATCAATTTTCTCACTAAGTTAACACAGCCATTGAAGAAGTTGACGTTGACGTTACCTCTGGAAAATCGGCAGCTTCCCGAATTTAAGAATTTGCTCGAAAAATTTGCCCCATCCTTGGAACTGCCGAGCTTTCGTGTCGCCACGGATGGAATGGAAGAGAAGTCGCGTTTCGTCCTGAATCTGCCATGTTTTCCTAAATTGAGAAGTTTAGATTTTCATTTTGGAACTTTTGATGATACCCTGTATTACACAGGACCGGAAAGTGTGGATTGCCGTGTCAAAAACATGGCACGGTTAAGCCTCGCATTTCCCCCGTTGCGAGGTTCACGTGACCACGTCAGTAATGGTATCGACTATGGGCGCCAACTTCCCGAGATTCGTTCCATCATCGTGACACCAGATATCGTGAACGGTGATGATGGGGATGAAGATGATTTCTGGGACACGTACAGCGATCTAATTGACAGTTTAATTCCCACGGAAAAAGGACAATGTTGCAAAACTCTGCGCAATTTGGATATTTTGAGGCGTAATATTGAACCTGAAACGAAATATCGTAAAGCTGCCCGACTCCTGGGAATATTTCCAAACGTTCTGAACGAATGGATGGACAGATTGAGGGGGAAAATTGATAATTAAAGAAGCAATTATTCAGTAATATGGATTTACATTTATTATCAGTTGGGTAGTTAAGATTTCGATTGTTAACGATTGATTAATGGAGTGTTAGATGATCAATTTAATTTTGATTGGTTATATTTCCTACTTAAATTTGCAGTTGTAATTTGTTATGTACTTTGGATTACTTCTGTCATTTTCATTATAAGTACGGATGTAGTGTATTTCAATTATTTAACGTAAATATCCAATAAATGCGCTTGTACAGAAAATCTCCATGTTTTCAAACTTTTCTCATGTTTTTAGTGAAGTTTGACATGGTTTTCGCAACTAACTTTCATGCACAAAGAAGTTCTTACTCAGGTGCGTTTTACAGATAAATATGTGTTTATACAATAAACTGAGTAATTACGTACTTACCGGGCAAAATAATCCGCATATGCATAAGTGCATACATAAGTACACTGTTAATAATCCGGTATAGTCACGCAGGTATTGATTTCTCGGTATTAAAGTTGCTACCATTTGGTATTAAAATTATACCAATTAAAAATTTGATACCAATATTGAAAAACGTTAATACCGGGTTATTACTACACGGTATTATTTATCAATACCATGTTCAGCCATGTTGATAGAGTCATATATGAATACCGCCTAGTATTATTTTAATACTGGATTTCTAAGAGTGTACTTATGATGCTAGGTCAATTTGGTCGGGTCAGTTTGGTCCAATGATAGGTCAATTTGGTCTGGTTTTTTTTGGTCTGGACAATTTGGTCTCACTTATTAAAATAATAAAATATACTGAATTAGTGAAGTTTAAGCTTTAATATTTAAGTTGTAAAATAGAATTTTATTTTAAAAATAAAATAAAATTCTATCTGGAAGGTTGCATATTGTTTTAACAATATGCAACCTTCCAGATATACCAGATGAATTTGCATTAGATGGGTGGAAAGTAGGAGCCCAAGACATCTTTCAAAAACTTAGCAGCATTTACCCATCGTTGTACAAATTCTAAACAGACCTAAGTGCAGTCTCTTTTTAATTTTAAAAAGACTTAGGTGCAATTCTAAAATTCTAAATACTTATTATTTATGCAAAATTTTACTGTAACCTAAATATTTTAGTTACCCCTAATAGAATATTCCAAATGTAAAAACACCCTCAAGGGTGTGGTTCTCTGGACCTAAATTAAGTTAAATAAAACCCTGCCACATATCACGTTTTTCACTCCGACGAGGCAATTCCGACATAATATTGACAATTTAAAAACCGCACTTACAGAGGGTGTGGTTCTTGGAGTCTAGTTAAATAAAGGTGAACCTGAATCAAGATTTATTAACCTAAGCTAGGCATGCTGTAAGTAGTACATATAGGAATCCAGGTAGTATGTGAATAATATGGGACTGCAGACCAAATTAACCAGACCAAATTGGCTTGACCAAATCGGCTAGACCAAATTGGCCAGACCGAATTTGTTCAAGACCAAACTGACTCCAGACCAAATTTCCCAAGACCAAACTGACCCGACCAAATTGAACGGACACCAGTACTTATGACTTTAGGATCTCTTCATTGTTTTGACGCAATAAATCCCTTCAGTTGAGGACAAAATATGCGGAAAACTTTCTCCCACGGAAGTTGTGGGGACGTCTGGGAACATTAACTTCACCCTAGGATAAGGGGGTTATCTAACATGGGCATACAATTTGGGAGAGGATGAGGGTGGGCCTCTGGTCCTTCCCCTCGACTCGAGGGCCCTCGAGTGGAAGGACCAAGGAAATGCAAAAATGCTTAAAATCTGAGCGAAAATCACGGAAAATTTGTAAAAAACACTCCATAATTATACGAAATTACGAATTATATGGTTATAAAAGTGGTTAAATATATATCCTTACTAAGGATTCCTTAACTAACTACCAATTTAGGTTATTATTATTTCTTTCTTTAGTATGTAACATAAATACATTGTATTTTTGTGATTTGCATGCCTACATAATTTTCATGAGAATGAATGATTGAGCCCGTGGAGAAGTTGCGACTGACCAGATTTTGTACAGCGCCTAATTTCAAACGAATCGTTTGCAGGTATTTCAGACAAGTACAACATACGCAGATTGATCAGTAAACAGGTGACGATCTAAATAAATTTGCTAATTTGAAATTTATGCTGGAACTAAAAAATATAGGAAAGTTTTAATTGCATTCCTATTTTCCATATCTCTTGTTGGATTTGAGTTATTTTGATGGATCGAATATAAAAAAAATAAATGTCGGGTTTCGTAATTTTTATCATTGTTTAACAAAATACTTAATTGTTAAACAAGTAATGATTTAACTGCTAGGCCATAATTTGACTGTAACTTATACATATTCACATATTGCTAATCCATTAATATTTCGAGTGGGACAATTATCAAAATAATGGCAGCCAACTTAATCAAACCTTCGGACGGTGTTTTACAAGCCAAATTCAACACGGGCTCAGATGATTGGTCGGCTATTTTGCCTTGCGTTGATCGTCAAAAGGTAATATTTGTGTAAAAATGTCTACACATTGCACATGTTTATGGTAATGGTTGTCATTAATTAATTGCAATGCATTTTAATTGCAGTACACCATTGGCGATAAGTACACCTCGTGGGACACACAGGGCAATTTTATCTTTTTCAGACCTGAGGGCCCCGAGTGGAACTGGAAGTTCGGTCTGGAAATCTTATGTGACGATGGCTTTTACTCGGTCAAACCTGCCACGGTTGGTAGTATCTACTTTAATTGATGATTAATGAACTATTTTGCAACACTCATAAATAAAATATGAATAATTTAGGGGGGCGGAATTTTTTAAACGGCGCAAAGCTGAATCGCGAAGTCGGGCTAAATTTTGGCGATATATTCACCGTCACGAAGCTCCGCAACGATATTTCTGGTGGACTTGCAAACTTCACGTTTGAGGTAAAAATTAACTTAAAAAAATAATCAATTCATTTCAGTAATAACGAATTCTGTGCTAATTTTAGAAACGGAGCTACATTGAAAATTGGGATGACTGCAAGAACATTTCTGACTCGGAAAACACGACTGGATCAAATTTTATACTAGATCGAAATCAATTGGTGCGCGAAATATGAAATTATTTAGCATGTTGCACGTTTAATTTCCTCTTAATTTCCAGGTTTTCTCGATCATTCTGTCCCGTCTCTCCTTGCACCTTGGGAAGCTTGAAGAACGCCCGACTAGTTTGTCGCCACTGGAATGAAGAAGTGACTCCCATTCTGCGAAAGAAATACGCCATAAAGTTCAGTTATTCCTCCGACGTTTACAACCCTTCGCTGAAATTTTTTCGATATATTCATGAAATGCGAGATGCTGAAAACTGGCCACACTTGAAGATAAGCTTTCCATTCCTAAGATTCCTAGAGGATGGCCAGGAAAATTGGAAGGCTAAGTATGCCGCTGACCTGAAGTGGTTTCTTAAGCAGAAAAGGGGACATTACGTCAAGACTTTGGCGCTGAACGGGTACATCCACTCTGACCAGGATTACCTGATGTATCTCGACACCGTTTCCGAATTTAAAGACACCTTGGAAGAATTGTATCTCAGCTAGGGTTGTCAATATGTCATGTCGAGGAGTAAATGTCGTGTCATGTCGAAAGTGTCAATGTCATGTCATAAATGTCCGTAAATGTCATTATGCCGAAATATATGACATTTATGACAAATATGACGCACAAATTGGACATTTATGACATTTATGACACATAATGTAAATAAATCACTAGACCCTTGTGACTGCAATCTGTTGAAAATAGACCACAATTTTGCACCTGGTCCGTGAGAAACACACATGTGGGTTTTAAATGTTTGTCTCAACTTTGCTTCCGTCCGTTTATTCAAATGACGATTTTGAAACCTGATCATCTCCGTGTTTTTTAATTAAGATTTTATTTCTTGTATGTAACGGTCGATAATTTCAGCATTTGCGAGCTTAGAATTTTTTTACGACAAGATAGAAACAAAATAGTTAAATGTCTGTATAATTTAATAAAAAAAAGAGTTAAAAAATCTTCATTCTAAACTCCTAATTTCATCAACCAACCTTTGTAAAATTATTCACTTCTAGAAGAAATAAAACCTTCTAAAAAGCACACAGCGATTAACAGGTTTTAAAATCGCCATTTGAATACATGGAAGATGGGAAAGTTTTAAGACACAAAAATTCAAAACCCGATTGAGACTTAGAGAATGTTAAGCTCATAGTTGGAATATGACTTCGAAAATATTAGTTTAATACATACAAACTAGCTTATCATCTCTCCCTTAATGGCTTTATTATGTAGCAGCAAGCCACCATTAATTGTCGCCAAACTGTTGCTACTAGAGTAAGTTCAACAGAATGAGAGATGAGTCATAGAACGTAATTCGATAAACTTTGGGTGTTTTAAAACAAGTTTTTGAACATAAATATATAATTTCTTGTTGATTTACATATTACAAACAGATGGATAGAATTGAGACTAGAAAATATTTCTGCTACGGTGGTTCCACGTATGTTCGTAGAGGGCAGTTTTTTGTAAATGTCATAAATGTCCAAAATGTCAATGCCAATGTGTCACGACATGTCATGACATTTGACAAATTGACACATTGACAAATATTGACATTGACACGCTTTTTTAAATGTCAGACATTTGTGACATTTATGACATTTATGACATGTCGACATGTCATGACAAATGACATATTAACAACCCTAATCTCAGCTTGACCATAAAAACTGTCGACCATAATGGCCCCGAGCAGCAATATTCACAGCGGGACCTATTTTTCCCCGTACTAAAGAAGTTTTCTCTACGAATTTTTAATCATATGAACGAACCAATTGTCCCAGTGACTACAAGCTGGATGAAAACTTGGGCCGACGCAATTACACGGGTGAAATCGATCTCCACGCTGGGCCATGGATTCCTGGGGTCAAGAATTGCCGTGGCGATGCAAACAACGGGAACTTTGGGGTATGGAAACTTGCGTCAAATCATGCTAACTTGCAAGCCAACGGATGGCATCAATTTTCTCATGGGGATGAACCCACAACTGAAGAGTTTGACGTTGACGTTACCTCTGGAACCCCAGCATCTTCCCGAGTTTGAGAATCTGCTTAAGAAATTCGCCCCGTCCTTGAATTTACTTCGCTTTCGTGTTGACACGAATGGACTTGAAGAGAAGTCGCGTTTCGTCCTGAATCTGCCATGTTTTCCTAAACTGATAAATAAATTTAAAAAAATAAAACTAAGGCGAGAGGCGCTATTACAAACACGAAACAAGCCCTCCCACCAACACCCCCGTCTCGCCGTGGCCCCATTTATATTTTTATATCTGGGGGGTGTAACCACAATTTTATTTTTTGTAATTCTTTCCTGCATCATACAAAACGATTTATAAAACCACCTATAATAGGGTATATATGCCACCATGGGTGCATGCATTTTCGTGATGGTGTCATAAAATTGTCACACAAATGTCGGAAATCAAACTTCAAAATCTGCTAGCTCAATTCTGAAATTTCTGAATGCAGAATGTATTTAATCACATAATTGCCTACGTTAAAAGTTGATTTTAAGAAGTAAATATTTCATTTTTCTACGACGGTTGATGAACCAGGTATATTCCAAACTTTTCAGCTACAATACGGATAGATTTGAAACTTTAGGATCTTGGTTAAGGCATAGGTTTTCTTTAATCAAACATCTTTAATTAAAAAATATTTTTATACATATTTTATCAAACATTTTACATAAGTGTTTCGGGGTTTTTAAGAATATATTTATCAGGACTCTAATGCTAGACATGTTTAAATTGAAATTAATGTAACTGTAATGTAAATGTAATGTATTAAGAACTGCAGATAATAGGCTTTAAAAGTGCAATGCAATATAAAATTGTAATATTTATCAACTTAAATACAGTTTACATTTGTAGTTAAAAGTTTGAATCATAAATTGTGGTTACACCCCCCAGATATAAAAATATTAATGGGGCCACGGCGAGACGGGGGTGTTGGTGGGAGGGCTTGTTTCGTGTTTGTAATACCGCCTCTCGCCTTAGTTTTATTTTTTTTAATTTATTTAGTTTGGAGTTTTTAAGTGAACAATTTTTTTAACTCCCATTAAAAACCCACAGTGCATAGCCCGAGTAAGGAAAAGATTGGGATTATCACCCAATCCGACTTTTGTACAAAATTTTATCATAAATGCATATCAACATTTTTATAATAAAAACCTACTTCAAGCAACTTTGCGGGGCCTTTTTAGATGGCATTCACAAAAAGTCAGACTCCTAATATTTGTTTGGCTATAATTTCGTGATTCATTGTTGGTATAAACCATTAAAAACCTAAAGTGCAGACTCCATTTATCCCGAGTCATGGACAGAGTCCCTGGCTCGATGAGTCAGAGCCGACTTCTAAATTTTTCTCCGAATTGATCAACATAACCAACCTCCGTGGTGAACGGTTAAATGTTTGTTGGATATTTTCTATTATTTAGCACCAAATGTTTGAATTGTTTACAAATCCTTCCACTTCAATACCTGGACCAGTGGGCTTCTTTAACATCTTGATCTTCTAAAGCTGTTGTGTTATCCAGAAGCAGTTTTTAGCTTCCATACCAAATTTCAGATGAAAATTACAACTTTTAAAAACGGTATGGGTCACCCCGCAGGGTCATTCTGTTTGCACTTAGCTAAGTTTTAATTGCAAATTCTTTAACGAGAAGCCACTATAATTGTAAGTATTACCGCGCCGGATTTCATGCTTTTAAAGTAATTTCTAAAACCTATCAGTACAGCTTTGCTCAGCCGGAACCAGGATTGATTAGTGAACATATCTTTGTCAGAACGTTATACTAATTTCATTTCATATTGTTTCATTAAGACCCATTTCCAACCTCTCTACCAAATTTCAGTTCGATATGACGATTTTTAAAAATCAGTGTGGGTCACCTCATAGGGTCCCTCAAGATGAAAATTTTTCCAATCTAAATTGATTTTTTTCTGTTACAATCCGTTAGCAACCTTTGTACCAAATTTCAGCTTCTAACGACAAATTTTAGAAATCCGTGGGGTAACCCTATCGGGCCTCCCAGGTTGAAAATTTCTGAAACTCCACTCCAATTTAAACGCTTTGAGGTCAGTCGCAATCTTCATACTAAAATTACTGAAAATTATTACTATAGATCTTTCTCAAGCTACAAATATTTTACTTGCACTTACATAATTTAACCTGCTCTAAAGGTTCTTGGTAGTTAAGGGCAACACATTTGGATAGAAATGACCCCCACCGGCCAACCACTTGACCAATCATGCCCATCTTCGAACTCATCCTTACTTTTGTAGGTAGGATCAAGTGTACAAAATTTCAAATCGATAGCTTGTGTTTAAAGAGAGTTATCGTGCGTACAGACAGACAGACAGACAGACGGACAGACAGACATCTTGACAAATCTATAAGGCCATCTTAAAAGGCCTAAACCTAATGGTTCTAATTTAAATTCACATTCTTAGATTGGTAGAAATTGGCAGCATATGTAACAAATTGCGGTTCAATACGACGATTAAAACAAATCCGTATGGGTCACCCAGTAGGGCCCCTCCAGATGAAAATTTTTCTGATTTTAATTCATATTGTTCCATTACGAGCCATTACAGATTTATCTACCAAATTTCAGCTCGATTTGATGAATTTGAAAAATCAGTATGGGTCGCTCCAGATAAGAATATTTTAAATTTCAATTCAAATTCTTCTATTAGTTGCAACTAGCAATCCCCACACCAAATTTCAGCTTGATTGGATGAATTTTAAAAATCTGTATGTATCACCCCTTCAGGTCCTTCTAGATGAAAATTATTACAATTTTACTTTATATTAGAAACCATTATCAACCTCTATATCAAATTTCAGCTTTCTAACACAATTTTGAAATTTTTGTGCCTAATACCCCACCCATTTATATGACCCCTACCGGTCCAAAACTTTTCTGATCGAACCCATCTTCGAACTAGGTCGTTACATTGCCCAGACACATGTTTGTACCAAGTTTGGTCAAAATTGGTCAACGGTTGAGAGAGTTATCGAAAGACGGACGGACGTGACGATTATATAAGCCCTGGCTCTGGCTATGATTTACATTTAAATAATTTCTTTACCTAAGTTGCTATGCATGTAACAACTGAATTTTAAAAATTTCAAACCTCCATAACTTCGTCATTTTACATCCGATTTTCATGACCCTAAAGAATGATCTTAATAATTTTTTAAGCCCTTTCGATTCCCCTTTGCCGATTTTTCACTTTCAGCGGAATATTTCGAGATACAGAAAAAAAGTCACTAAAACGAGAATTACACCATGAAGGTATGAACCGATTAAGCCCAGAGATCTATGCGCAATACTACAAAGAATTTACTACCCATCAGTCGAAACCGCATGTCTCTACGGCGTATGGTTCTCTCACAATCTTATCTGACTTTTTTGAGGTGGGCACTTAACTGCATACTATGGCTTCGCCGTAACCATGCACGTATTTTTTTTGGGTGCATGGTTACGTTCGGGTCTCGCCTTAGAAAAAGTCTGGATCTTTACTTTGGAGAGTATCAAAGTAGCAGTTATTTCGTAAAACCTGACAGTGTGTATTGTCTTCTTACAAACGGGGCACGATTAAGCCTCGCATTTCCTCCGGTGCTGGGTCGACGGGGCGACGTCATCGACTATGGACGCCACCTTCCCTCGATTCGTTCCATCGTCGTGACACCAGAGATGGATGACTGCGAGGAGGAGGATGATGATTTTTGGGACACGTACAGCGATCTGATTGATAGTTTACTGCCCAAGAAAGAAGGACAAAGTTGCAAAACTCTGAAAAATTTGGTTATTTTGAAAAATGATGTTGAACCTGAAACGAAATATCGTCAAGCTGCCCGACTCCCGGGGATATTTCCGAATGTTCAGAATGAATGGATGGGCAGATTGAGGAAGAAGTTGAATAATTAAACAATTAACTTTGTTCATTGATATGAATTTATATGTATTCAATTAGTGTGAGCGGATTAATTTAATTTAAGTCCTTTACGTACATTTCCGATTTAAATCTACGACAGTCATTATACAATTTGTATTTTTTGTTGACTTTGATATTTTAAATTTGAGTATATATTTCAATTATTAATTACAAATATCCAATAAATGTCCATACATAATCTGTATTTAGCTATGTTTTTAAAGTCATGTTTTACTTTTATTGTAATTTCTGGCAGAATTATGTTTTTTGACATGCATAGATCCATGGGTTAAGGTGACGATGACCCCAAGTATAAACTACGGACGCCACCTCGCTTCCATTCCAATCTCGTAGTATTCAATCAGAGATTTTTGGCTCCTCTGTATTATGTTTTTTAATAATGAAAAATGTTTAAAATATTACAAGATGATCATGCGTTTAACAGGAAATTACATATATACAAATACATGCTTATGTACACATAGATATCGAATAAATAATGCTTAAGATGAGCCTCCATGAGTCATTCCCGCCCGTCTCATTTTGCCCCATGTGTCATGTATCCTTATGGAGAACTTAAAATGAACTTTAGGGCGTTAATATTCAATGAAATTTGGATGTTGTTACTTTAAAAAATTCTATATTTTTAACTTAACAAAATTGCACAAATATTTGGGAAAAAAATTTCCTTCCTCAATAGTTTATTGCCCCCAACAGGAGGAAATTTTTTTCCCAAATATTTGTGCAATTTTGTTAAGTTAAAAATATAGAATTTTTTAAAGTAACAACATCCAAATTTCATTGAATATTAACGCCCTAAAGTTCATTTTAAGTTCTCCATAAGGATACATGACACATGGGGCAAAATGAGACGGGCGGGAATGACTCATGGATGCTTGCCTTAAATAATACATATGAAAATACGGTTGAGAGTTGGGGAAAGTTGCGACTGGCATTTTTTAACGGCAGCTTATTTACAATTACACATTTCAGACAAGATTGCACAGCACACAGGAAACAGGTGACGAGCTAAATACATTTCTAACTTTAATTCTACGTGAGAAAAACTCGGTCAATTTTTAGAACTTTAATTCCATTACTCATTGGCTTTGAGTCGTTTCTGAAAAGAAAATTAAAAGCAGTTTACAAGAAGAACCAAGTTTCATGGAAAGCTTCGTAGTTTTTGTAATTCTGTAACAAACGGGGACTCGAATACCAAAATTGTGTACTTTTTTACGAGTTAAAATAATTAATTTTTTTACTCGCACGGCATACTTAGGTAATAATAATCATACACATTTCCGATAAAAAGTGAAGCAAGATTTTGGCATTTTGGTTTACAAGTTGTCAAAATTAAATACGAAAGGTTGAAGGTTAATAATTAATATTCAATATTTAATTATTTCCAGTTGCAGAGCTATCGAAATAATGGCAGCCAGCTTAATCAAACCACCGGATGGTGTTCTTAAAGCTAAATTTAATACGGAAGCAGATTATTGGTCGGTTATCTTGCCTTACATTGAACGTCGAAAGGTTAAATTATTTGCTACGAATTAACTGCTTTTAAATATGGATGGGTGTGATTAATTAAATGAAAATTTGAATCTATTTTAATTGCAGTACACCATTGGCGATACGTACACCTCGTGGGACACGCAGGGCGAATTCGTCTTTTTCACGACTAAGAGCGATAAGTGGAACTGGAGTTTCGGGCTGGAAATCTTCTGTGACCTTGACTCGTACTGGGTCAAAGCTTTCAAGGTTGGAGGTATTTAATTTAACTCATATTTAACTATTTTGCTAATAATCAAATAATTTAGGGGGACTACATTTTTCAAAACGGTGTAAAAGTGGATGACGAAGTCAAGACGAGGGTAAATTTTGGCGACACGTTCACCATGACGAAGCTCCGCAACGATATTTCTGGTGGACTTGCCATCTTTGCGTTTGAGGTAAAAACGCATTTGAAAACAAATCAAATAATTTGAATAATCACTAATTTTGTGGTAATTTTAGAAACGGGAGTACCCGACAGATGTAGATTACTGTAAGAAAATTATGTGTGACTCGGACAATGCGAAAGAATTAAATTTCACGCTGGGTCGAAATAAATTGGTACGCTAAATCATTTAGTAGATATTTTACACCTTTAATTTCATGAAAAAATAGTGTTATTAATCCTAAGTGCAAGCACCAACTTCTTCAAAATCGAATTTTTAAGCAATTTTTATAAGGAAGCAAAATTTATAAGGAGTCCAAAATTTGGACTCCTTATAAATTTGGGAAGAAATAATACCATCGCGCATCGCATCTTAAATTTATCTGGGAGTCCAAAGATTCTTGAAAATTGAATTTTTCAAAAGTTTCTGCAGGTCAACTCATGGACAAGACTAAATATTTATATCCCCTTAATTTCCAGATTTTCTCCCACATCCTCTCCTACCTCTCCCTGCGAAGCTTGAAGAACGCTCGACTAGTTTGCCGACACTGGGACGAAGAAGCTTCTCCCATTCTGCAGAAGAAATGCGCCATCAATTTTGACGAAGATTATCAACCTTCCAACTCCTCTCTGCAATTTTTCCGATACGTTGGCGAAATGCGAAATATCGCGGGTTGGCCAAACTGAAGCATAACCTTTCCACACTTCCCAGCCGACGAGGACGACCAGAAAAACTGGGGAGCTAAATATGTCACTGATCTGAACTGGTTTCTTCAGCCGAAGTGGGGACATCTCGTCAAGACTTTGTCCTTAAGAGGGGATGTCCACTCCGATCAAGATTACAAGTTACATCTCGATACCGTTTCTCGATTTCAAGACACCTTGCAAGAATTACGTGTCGCCTTCGAAATCCAAATTTGTGACAAAGATGGCGCCGAGATGGAATATCCGTGTCAATACGGCATATTTTTCCCCGTTTTGAAGAAGGTATCCTTCGAATTGGTTACTTACTCACGAGAACCAGACGGACTGACCGCGAGGTGGATGCAAACTTGGGCCGACGCGATTACAAAGGTGGCCTCCGTTTCTATTGTCGGCGATGATTTCTTGGGGTCCAGATTTATCCAACAGATGAAAAGAAAAGGGACTTTGCGGTATACAAATTTGAGGGAAATTCTGCTAACTTGCAAGCCAGAGGATGGCATCAATTTTCTCTCCGAGTTGAACCAGCCCCTGAAGAAGATGACGTTGACGATACCTTTGGAAAATCCACAGCTTCCCGACTTTGAGAATTTGCTCAGAAAATTTGCCCCGTCCTTGGAATTTCTTAGCTTTCGTGTCGATACGGATGGAATGCAAGAAAAGTCGCGTTTCGTCCTGAATATGCCATGTTTTCCTAAATTGAAAAGTTTAGACCTTCACTTTGGAGATTTTGAAAATTTTACATATTTCTTAGGAGGTGCAGATGTGGAAGGTCGTATCAAAAATTTGGCGCGATTAAGTCTCGCATTTCCTCCGTTAATGGGTCCACGTGATAACGGTATCGACTATGGACGCCACCTTCCCGAGATTCGTTCCATCATCATTCTGAAACCATGGTCGCTCGAGCGTCAGGAAGATTTCTGGGACACGTACAGCGATCTGATTGACAGCCTACTTCCCAAGGAAGACGGACAAAGTTGCAAAACTCTGGAAAATTTCGATATTTTGAGGCGAAATGTTGAACCTGAGACGCGATATCGTCAAGCTGGTCGACTTCCGGGGATATTTCCGAATGTCCGGAACGAGTGGATGGTCAAATTGAAGGAGAAGATGAATAATTGATGAATTAATTTTGTTCATTGATATGAATTTACATGTATTCAATTAGTGTAATTTAAATTAAACCCTTTACATTTCCGAGTTTGATCTAGATCAATTACTACGGTAGATACCGTAGTAATTATACAATTGGGGGAATTTATGTTACCTCTGATATTTCAATTTGAGTATGTATTTATTTCAATTATTTAATGTTCATATCCAATAAATGTATATACATTTGCGATTTTTTCCTAATGTTTTATTTGTATTTTATTTTGGAGCAGACTTTTATGCATATATGTAATGTTTTTTTAACTTTTTTTATGTCACATCGCCTTCATTCGAATCTTGCATTAAAGTTGGGTTTATTTTATTTTCTCATTTAAATATATAATTAATGCTTGTCAACGGGAGTCATTCTCATTACCGAAAAATTTTTAAAAGTCACTTCATGCTCTCATCCCGAAATATACGTAAATTGCTTTTAAAAGTTTAGGCTATAATTTGTCATTACAAGTAAATTACATGCATAATTTTCATAAGAAATAGGGGACGTTGAGACTGGCCGGTTTTTTAAACACCAACTTGTTGGCAATGATTTCTGACAAAGACGCAAATTGGGAACAACTAATAAACAGGAAGAGGTGACGAGCTAAATAAATCTGAAAATTTAATTCGACGTGGGAATAAATTTGTAAGTTTTAACAAATTACTTAATGCTAACTGGATTTGAGTTATTTTTTTCTTGTTTTTTGGCTTTTCTTTAAAATCTGAAATAAAAAATTATCAGAATTATCAAGATAATGGCATCCAGCTTAACTCAATCTCCGGACGGTGTTTTCGAAGCTAAATTCAACACGGACGCAGACAATTGGTCGATTATCTTGCCTTATGTGGATCATCAAAAGGTCACAATTTTTGTTTCGAATTAACTGCTAATTTCTAATGTCAATAATTAATTGCAAGTTGCAAAATGTTTTAATTGCAGTACACCATTGGCGAAAAGTACACCTCGTGGGAGACGCAGGGTGAATTCGTCTTTTTCAAGACCAACCGGTTAGACAAGTGGAACTGGAGCTTCGGTCTGGAAATCTTATGTGACCTTGGCTCGTACTGGGTCAAACCCGTCAAGGTGGATATTATTTAAGTTAATTAGTACTTAACTATTTTAATAATGAAATATGTGATTCAGGGTGGCGGAATCTTAAAAAACGGGGAAAGTTGGACGACACAGTCAAAACCAGGCTAAAGTTTGGCGATATTTTCACTGTGACCAAGCGTCGCAACGATGCTTCCAGTGAACTTGCTATCTTTACGTTTGAGGTAAAAACGAATTTCAGCAAATTAGAGACTCTAAAGAGTAATAATGAATTTCTTGCTAATTTTTAGAAACGGAGCTACCCTGAAAATTGGGACAAGTGTAAGAAAATTTCTGGCTCTGAGAGTGAATCCAGTTTCCCCCCAGATAAAAATCATTTGGTACTTGAAATACAAAATTATTGAAGATTTTCCACCTGCAACTCTTTCTTAATTTGTTCCAGATTTTCTCCCACATTCTGTCCTACCTCCCACTCGGAAGCTTGAAGAACGCCCGACTAGTCTGTCGCCACTGGGACGAACGAGTGACTCCCATTCTGCAAAAGAAATGCGTTATATATTTCAACTATTACTCGGACGTTTACAACCCTTCGCTGAAATTTTGGCGATACGTTCACGACATGCGAAACGTCGCAGATTGGCCAAACTGGAAGATTCGCTTTCCACACCTGCCAGCCAAAGAGGACGATCCGGAAAATAGAAAAGATCAATATGTCACCGGACTGAACTGGTTTCTTCAGCCGAGAAGGGAACTTCACGTTAAGACGTTGTCCTTGAGCGGGGACATCCACTCTGACCAGGATTACAGGTAGTGTTTCCGATTGGTTCTAAATTAGTTGGCCTTCAATTCACTGTAACTTGTGCAAAATTGAATTGTTAAGCAGTTTAGGACTTCCAGATAAATTTTGGATGAAATGCTACAAGTTGTAAATAATTATACGATTTTCATTTTTTACATTTGAGATCTAGTTGTAATTATCTTTCAGAAATTATCTGGGGCTTCAAAAATATCAATTTTGCATAAGTTGGCGACTAATTATAGTGAGTGAATTTAAGGCCAACTCATTTAGAACTTATCGACAATCCTAATTACAGGTTATATCTCGACACCGTTTACAAATTTAAAGACACCTTAGAAGAGTTACGTCTCAACATCGCCATGGAAATTTGCGACGATCAAGGCACCGAGAACGACTATTCAAGCCGGCCCGACCTAGCTTTCAATAAATTAAAGAAGTTCTCTCTACGACTCGATGATCTTTATGACCCACAACGAGCCACACTGACCGCGGACTGGATGCAAACTTGGACCGACGCGATTAAGCAGGTGGTCTCCATCTCTACCGTCGGCTATGATTTCATTGGGTCAAGATTTCTCGAAGAGTTGCGAACAACGGGAACTTCGCAGTATCAAAATTTGAGAGAAATCTCTCTCACTTGCAAGCCGGAGGATGCCATCAATTTTCTGACAGAGATAACCCAACCCCTGAAAAAGTTGAATTTGAGATTACCTCTGAAAAATGGACATCTTCCCGAATTTGAAAAATCTCCTCAAGAAATTCGCCTCGTCCTTGGAATCTCTAAAGTTTCGTGTCGCCACGGATGAAATGGAAGAGAAGTCGCGTTTCGTCGTTAATCTGTCATGTTTTCCTAAACTGAAAAGCTTAGATTTTCACTTTGGGGCGTTCAAACACACCTCGTATTACGCTGAACCTGACAGTTTGGAATGTCGTGTCAAAAACGTGGCACGATTAAGCCTCGCATTTCCTCCGTTGCCGGGTTCACGTGACGACGTCGTCGACTATGGACGCCACCTTCCCGAGATTCGTTCCATCGTCTTGAAGCCATGGATGTATGACGACGATGAAGATGATTTTTGGGTAACCTACAGCGATCTGATTGACAATTTTCTTCCCAAAGGAGAAGGACAACGTTGCGAAACTCTGCAAGATTTGGTCATTTGGAGGAATAACGTTAAACCGGAAACGCGATATCGTCAAGCTTCCCGACTCCCGGGAATATTTCCAAGTGTTAGGAACGAATGGATGGTCAAATTGAGGGAGAAAATTGATACTTAAACAATTAACTTTGTTCATTTCTTTGAATTTACGTTTGTCCAAGAAGTTATCATAGTTAATAAGATATTAAATTAACCACTGTGTGCGAAAGAGATGATTAATTTAATCTAAATCCTTTGCATTTCATGATTCAATTTATGGCAGTAATTATTCAATTAAGGATTTTGCTACCTCTGTCATTTTTGTTATGAGTATGTATTTAAATTATTTATTTGCATAAATATCCAATAAATGCAAATGAACTATATATAGGTATGTCCCCATATTACGTATGTCAAAGTAGTTAACTAACGTGCATGAATAATTGCGCATTTAAGTTAGAAATACAAATAAACTGCATGTATAATTTGCATAAGAAAGAGGGGAAGTTGCGACTGGCCGGCTCTTTTTCTTAGGTGAGGCGAAAGCCGGAAAGCGGGGCCCCACGCAAAAAGCAAAAATGAATATGCTCGGTTGGGGCCCGGCGTAGCCAAGTATGTTTTTTTCACAACTGACACAGAATATAGATTCTACATTCTATATGTAGAATCTATATTCTGTGCACACATGCACACAGATTGAACAGTCACAGTGAACCGGTGACGGTGACGGGTTAAATAAGTTACACAACTAATCCTAAATTACACGTTAGGGGCTATCCATTAATTACGTAACGCAAAAGGGGGGGAGGGCGGGTCTAAGGCTCCAATGATATCGTGCATATGTTACACATGTTAAAGGGGGGGAGGGGGGGGGGGTCTAGAAAATGGCGATTTTTGCGTTACGTAATTTATGGACGGCGCCTTAGAAGAAATTGGTAAGTTTTTACAAAATTAGTTCCATTACTTATTGCTGATTGGATTTGATTTATTCTTCATCGTTGATCAACCGAATTGACAAAAATGGCATGAATTAAGTTGGGAGACTTCGTAATTTTTTATAATTCTTGATTTTTGTAGCTAGGTTATAGTAAATAAATTGTCAAAATTATTTCACTATCACGCATTAATTTAAGTGTAACCAATGCATACGAATTTCTATAACCCATTGATTGTTGACGATGTAAAAATAAGCAAGATTTTAATGTTTTGTTAATTCAATCTTGTTTTTAAAAATTACAGCCTAGTAATTATACCGAGTAGCACAATTATCAAGATAATGGCGGTCAACTTAATTGAACCTCCGGATGGTGTTTTTCAAGCTAAAAGCAACACGGGATCAGACGATTGGTCGGTTATCTTGCCTTACATTGATCGTCGAAAGGTGACCTTTTTATATTTCGAATTAACTGAAGTTTTTATCAGCGTTATTAATTAGTCGCAAAATGCAATGCAAATATAATTAATTGCAGTATACAATTGGCGACAAGTACATCTCGTGGGCGACGCAGGGCGACTTCGTCTTTTTCAGGACTAAGGGCGACCAGTGGAATTGGAGATTCGGCCTGGAAATCTTATGCGATGATGACTTTTACTGGGTCAAACCGGGCCAGGTGGGCAGCATTTAATTAATTATTACTCAACTATATAATTCTACTGATCATCACATCACTGATAAAATAATTGAATACTATTTTTAGGGAGACATAATTTTTCAAAACGGTGTCAAGCTGGATGACAAAGTCGAAACGAGGCTTAATTTTAACGACACACTCATTGTCACGAAGCTCCGCAACAACATTTCTGGTGGACTTGCAATCTTCACGTTTAATGTAAAATTAATTTTCGAAACAAATTAAAATCGACAAAGTTGAGTTATGACTAATTTTGCCGTAATTTTAGAAACGGGAGTACCCTGAAAATTGGGATACATGTAAGAAAATGGAACTCTGTGGCTCGGAGAAGGCGCCTGAGTCAAGTTTCACACTGGATCGAAATCAATTGGTATGCAAAATTCCTTAATATTTTGCACCTTTAATCTACCCGCAACTATTTTACTAATTTCCCCTCGATTTCCTCCAGATTTTCTCCCAAATTCTGTCCCACCTCTCTTTGGGAAGCTTGAAGAACGCTCGACTAGTTTGTCGACACTGGGATGAAGAAGTGACTCCAATTCTGCAAAGGAAATGCGTCATAAATTTTAGTTATTCTTCCGACGTTTGCAACCCTTCTATGAGACTTTTAAGATACGTTCATGATATGCGATATGTCGAAGGCCAAACTAGAAACAGACCAAACTGGCAAAACTGGAAGGTAACCATTCCAGACCTACAAGTTACAGAGGATAACCAGAAAAATTGGAGGGATAAGTATGTCGCTGATTTGAAATGGTTTCTTAAGCCGAGAAGGGGACATCACGTCACATCTTTGTCCTTGACCGGGTACATCTATGCTGATGCGGATTACCTGCTATATCTCGACACCGTTTCTCAATTTAAAAACACCCTGGAAGAACTAAGTGTCAACGTGGTCATGGATATTTCCAAGAATGATGGCCCCGAGCACCAATATTCGCAGCGGAGCGAGCTATTTTTCCCCGTCTTGAAGAAGTTTTCCCTACGCCTGGGCAATCATTGGGGCCGAATACCAGCCACGGTGACGACGAACTGGATGAAAACTTGGGCCGACGCGGTTACCCGGGTGACCACAATCTTTACTGACGGCCGTGTTTCCCTTGGGTCAAGATTTGTCGAAGAAATGCAAAAAACGGGAACTTTGCGGTATCAAAATTTGATGGAAATCTCTCTAACTTGCGAGCCAGAGGATGCCATAAATTTTCTCAGAGAGTTAAACCAGCCATTGAAGACTTTTTTGGCTTGTGAAATCGCGTGTTACACATCGTCGCACTAATTCTAAAAAGACGTAAGTGCATTCGATGCTTAATTTTAAAACCACGTAAGTGCACTCGATGTTTAATTTTAAAACCACGTAAGTGCAGTCGATGTTTAATTTTAAAAAGACGTAAGTGCACAAAAAAGACTAGTAAAAAGACGTAAGTGCACTTTTTAAAATTATAAAGAGTAATTACTTGTTCAAAATTGTCCTATCAAGGGAAATTTGAACTTATTGGCCCCCATAGGCAAGTCAAAATAAAAAGGGTGCAACCACGTCAAAACGCAATTTATGAAACTTTGGGGATGTAATTAAGTCAAAATTTAGTTTTTGCTTTAAGAACCACACCCCCTGAATGTTTTGGTTTTAAAATTTTGAGCGTGCCGTCGAATATGGATCATCGGGATGAGAAATAGGATATATTGCATGCCATGTTTTATTTAGTGCAAATTAGACGCCGAGAACCACACCCACTACGGGTGTGGTTTTTAAATTTTTAATAATCTTCTGGAATTGCGTCACCGGGGTGAGGAAAGAAATACGTTTTGATTTAATTCACCGTACTGTAAAGGCCGAGAACCACACCCCCTGAGGGTGTGGTTTTTAAATTTTGAATTTTCTTTCATTACTTGCCTATGGGGGCCAATAAGTTCAAATTTCCCTTGATAGGACAATTTTGAACAAGTAATTACTCTTTATAATTTTAAAAAGTGCACTTACGTCTTTTTACTAGTTTTTTTTTGTGCACTTACGTCTTTTTAAAATTAAACATCGACTGCACTTACGTGGTTTTAAAATTAAACATCGAGTGCACTTACGTGGTTTTAAAATTAAGCATCGAATGCACTTACGTCTTTTTAGAAGTAGTGCGACGACATGTATGTATGTACATAAACTGAAAGAATTAGTTACGCACCTGGAATTGCAAAACAAGGCGCAAGCATAGAAACACCTTCATTGTTGTTAGGTAATAATTCCCGTTGGTTGAGGAAAAAAATAAGCCTAAGCATAAATACATAAAAATGATGCAAAATCTGTAAATTAAATAATTTTTATAGATTTTTACAAAAGCGTAGATGTGTACTTAAGGAAGCGTTTTAGGCTATAATGGCATACACACGTAAAATCGGGAAATATGTAAAACGTATAAATCCATGCAAATTTTCTGCACATGCATAATATGTACATATGAATTAAATTACATGAAATCATTACATTGCAATGAATATACTTATGTACGTATATACATAAGTACGTACATATATGCACATATGTACATATTAATGGGCACATGTACATATATATGTATCTACAATCGAGTTTTTAACACCTCATTTGCATATTCTGACGAATTCGCGAGAGACCTATGTAGAGTTTATTAAGTAGCGTCGGCTACTTATTGTGTTCATTTTGTCCGTCCGTCTGTCTGTCGGTCTGTCTGTCTGTCCGTAAGCAGGATATCTCCAGAACGAGTCAACATAATCAAACCCCGTTTTCGCCATTGTGCTTCTAATTTTTAGTTCTCGGTCGAGTTCGAAAATGGGGTCAATTGGACCACCCCCCACCGCGCCAGGGGGTGTGGTCCAAAATTAAATTTACGTTAATTTTCATATGGGGTATCATTTTAAAGGAAATTTCGCCACGGATTCAACGACATCGATATTTTTTACCTTATGACCTTGACGACGAGGTCAGAGGTCAGAAAACACATAATTTCCATATGGGGTGTCATTTTAAAGGAAATTTGACTGCGATTTCAAGGACGTTAATATTTTTGACCTCAAGATAGTTAGGACGAGGTCATACACGGAAACGTTGAAGGAAACTTGAATCACTCTGACGCTACGTATTTACATTCGTTTGGAGGGTTTATTCAACATGGAAAGTCAGTTTAGCTAAAAATGCATATAGTGAAATTTATGCAAATGAGGTGCCAAGCCTAAGTACATAAGAGGGTAACACATACATAAATATACTGCCAAAAATCTGGTACCCGTCCTGGTATTGATTTAATCTACCGGGTTGGTTGTGATTTGTTTCTGAGTGGTAAATTCTTCACTAACGCAACATTACTGAACGATATATAATGCCCTTTATTACCAGTGCTGGTAGAGTATGTGATTATTATTCCACGGTTAGTAATGGTTGAATACTAGTTTTCTGAGAGTTTACATTCATATGAATGTATCTATGCTTAAGTAATCATACGGAAATATTCATGAACCGCAATTCATTGGGCTTGTTGCACAAATAAGTTTACCTAATCAAACTTGAGTGTTGACATTACACTCACAACTTATGCGTAGCTAAATTTATCGACTTCATTAACATTGATTGATATGGGCCGTCCATAAATTATTAAACGCGAAAGAAGGGTCTAAGGCTCCAATGACGTCGTGCCTATATGACAAATGTATTAAAGAGGGGTGGAGAAAATCGCAATTTTTTGCGCAACTTATGCACGGCCCCTTCACCAAAGTGTTTAACAATCTCTCGCCACATTACACTCGACCTTGTCCAACCATTAAGAATACTAGTTACTAAACTATTCCTTTAAGTATTTGCTAATTTGTAAATATTTTTCGCATGTCAATCATTTCACATAAAAAACTTATTTAGCCATTCTTGAGCATGTTTTCATTTTTACTTTGTCTTGATAATATCTGACTTTTTTTCTAAATTTTTAGTAACCTGCGAGAAACGTGTCAGCGCATAAGTAAAAAAAATGTTTAAATTTTGGAAAGTATTTTTAATTTATTAGAAGTTCGATAGATTTTAGTCCCAAATTTAAAAAAATCAGATAAGCTGTTCACCATTGTTAGCACTGCGTTGCTGTTTTATTCCCCATGGTATTTTCTAGACAGAGTTGTGCAAGTTCAAAACTTAAAAAAACTGTTAAGTTTTAATTTTAATCTCCAGGAATTTTTGCAATTCAGCTGGTGTAAAGTTGGTGGCTAACAAGATGATTAAAAACCGAGTTGTAAAATTCTAAATTTAACTCATTTGATTTTTTTTATAATTTCGAACTTCTAAGCCTTCAACATACTCTTTTTCTCTTCAATTTCGGCTGCATCTTTTACATCCGATTTTCTAACTTTTGTCGGAACTGAGGCCGAAAGCGATAAACTTTTGGAGTCACCGTTTTCATCTTCTGCACAAGAAAACACTGCCGGTGCTCGGCTAATCCCGCAAAATATGTAGAGCGGAAGTGATCCCGGGTCTTGGGAGGATTGTTTAGATCCAGATCCAGGGATCCGGATTTTTCGTCGCAATTGTTCGAAAATCAGGCGGCATACGTACAAATAAACGACTCCATTAAATATCCCCACAGTCTGAAAAAAGTCAAGCAAGGGAAGTTGGATTTTTTAAAATTTGAGTAAAGAAATTTTATGAGTTACATGATTTTAAAAAAATATTCGCTAAAGTTTAAAATTTAAGTAGGGGATTTAAGATGGCGTTTCCGAAAAACCACACAATAGTAATGTTTGTACCACCCCGAACCGAATTTGCAATCTCGAACTGCCAAATAAAATATATTTTTGCCAAAATCAATTCTCACCGCTGCACTCGTCTTCTCCATAACATTGCAGCTTGTCTTGGAATCCGTTCCGGTGAGAATGATGATCGACCCCGCAATCACTGCGATCCCGCCGAGCAGATGAAATAGAAATTCCTGTAAAAAATGTCTACATTTAAAAATGAGCTTGTCCGATTTTACACTCTTAGAAATCCAGCATTAAAATAATACTAACAAGTAAGTGTATTGTAAGTGGTATTCATACATGTTTGACTCTACCAGAATGGTATTGATTGTAATAAAATGTAGGAACCGCGCGGTGTTAAAACTTTGTTATACATACACTAGCGTATAAGCCCGTCTCCGCCGGTCGAGCGAGAATTATAAGCTGGACATGTCTGTCGGCAGGGGAAGTGAAAGTAAAAAAAATAAGCTTCTAGGAGAGATAATCACTCCTAGATAACCACCATCAGGTAACCACTCCCAGATAACCACTATCATAAAACCAGTAAGATAACTATCCTAAGACATTTAATGTTTTAAATTTAATTTGCTCCAAATTTTCGCGCCATTCGGAACTTGACTGTTTTCACTTCCGTTTCGGCAAATTACTTTCACTTCCGTTGCAGACAAACATTTCCAGCTTATAGTATAGATAATATGTATCCATACCAAATATTTGCGGTTCCGTACTATTTTAATATTTACCAAGCGGTGGCAACTTTAATACCGAGAAATCAATACCTGCCAGCAGTGCCCGATCTTGGATTTTGGCGCCCTGGGCAAACATATGAGGCGCCCCTGTCCCACTAACAACGAGTTTCCACAAATAACTTGACAAATTAGTTTTTTATGCTGTTGTACTGATATTAGATAAAGTATATGCATATTATCCAGTTTATTAATTGTTAAGCAAATTCAGAGTTAAATTCAGCGTCAGGACAATTTCGTGCTAAATTTGTTCACATGCTGTCGGGCTAGACAATATTCATACAATTTTGCTTAACTTTGATGAAATGGAATTGTATGTAAAAAAAATATAAGAGAAATTATATTTTATAAAGTGCGTCTATTGCGATTGCAAAATTTATTCCGTCGATGAGAACTATCCAAACGGTGAAGACGTGACTTATTTACTGCTTATGAGATTAACTTAAAAACCCGCAGCGCAGCCTCATATACCCCGAGCCAATGTGTTGAATAATTAATGATTAATTTAAATTCAATTCCACTTCATGTTTCTCTACTAGTCGCAAATGTCGTAGATGTCATAATTCTTTCGAAATTTGTTTCACATCCTCCGATTATATATTTTATTAACTTCAATACCAAATTTCAGCTCTACGACTATTTAGAAAATTGGGTGCATAATGCCCCACCCCGTAATATGACGCCCATGGGTCAACCAGTGAACCAATGATACTCATCTTAGAACTTAGCCTCCCTATTGAGGGATATCGAGGGAAATGTGTCACGAAACCCGGTTCCGTATTTAGCAAGAGGTAGAGTGAGACTCGGATTCGGGAGAGAATCCACCATCATCAGGGTCGTAGAAGAATTATGTCTCAGTTCGCCTCTCTATTTCAGTGGCTATATTTTGTTAGGGCTCTTTTCGTATAAGCCACTCATTCAACCTTTGACCCCAAAAACTCCTGGTACCCAAACTTTTCCTTCGAACAACAAAAGCTGAAACTATAGCTCTTCTCAAGGAAAAAAAATCTGGCATCAGGTTGCCAGAAATAAAGGTGCGGCAGCCATGAGTTTTTTGCAATTATTTCTGTACCGCCGATTTTCGACTTTTGTAACCTTTGATGGGTGAAAACCTTCGTATTCATAGGACCTCTCAAATATCAAATGCAAGGTAGGATCTAAACCTTTAATTCTTATGTTACCCAATCTTTGTAAATTGGCTTTCTCATTTTCCCAGTTTCTGTTTTCAATGTTTGAAGAGGGGTGGTTGCATATAATTCAAAAATGGCTACACTACATCAATGGTTGCCCCCGAAACTTTGTTCCAAATTTTTAAATTTAATTTGGTGAAATCGATGAAACGCGGAATGGCACATTTCCCACAATATGTTTCTGTTGACATTTTTTAATGCATGCCAAATTTCAACTCGGTAGGTTGAGTAGAACAGAAATACATAAACTTGGACACAGATGACAGACGTGCAAAACGATCCCATAAGCCCTGACTCGGGCTAAAAATGTGTCAGAGCGAGCACAATGCTGAATAACGTATTTACACAAACTCTTCTGGCACCTTGGATAATAGTATGCCACTATTTTTTAATTTTAAGATTAGACTGAGGACGGTGACACTCAATCTTATCTAGTGTACGCTCGGGCGCCTGGCGGCGCCCCTGATTTTTTGGCCCCCTGGGCAATTGCCCCGCTTGCCCCCCCCAAAATCGGGGCCTGCCTGCCAGACCATACAAGATTTCTAAGTGTTAAATATTTATGTAAATATTACATACCACCCCACGCGACATGTAATTTGCTTTGAAAACATCCAAAAGAGCACAGATCAAGTGCAAGAGGGAAACTGTCACAACCACGAGCACCGTGACGAGAAAGTAGACATCCTTCCGCGCCCCACAGGACGCCAGCGAGGCCAAAATTACGTCCAAAATTCCCAAAATCTGTAAAAATATGAAGAACTTAGATTGACCATAATTTTCGAACTACATAATTAAGCGCTTACAACAGTGACACATTTCAGCTTAAACGTCCCATCCGTCTGCGAATCCACCTTGCACAACATGACGTTCAGTAAATTAATAAGCTAGAAAATTTTGCTAATTTTGTAATTTCTCTTTCTTTTTTATGCGATCATAAATCAAACGTTTAGATTCGTTTTCCTTGGATATTATGTTTCAAAATGAGACAGAAATCAAAGAACACGTGAACTTTGGGCAAACTACTTGCTCAAACTGACGATGATCACCTTGTATAATTTAAATACTTTACTCATTTATCAATTAATAATTCCGTCACGAGATAAATGCATACTTAATCCAACGACAATTTAATGGGTTCGCCAATGAGATTCACTTCACTTTTGTGCCAATCATGCAATATTCCATCGCGATAGCAACATCTTATTTATTATGCTATGTATGTATGTACGTATTTGTTTTAGCGAGTTATTAATATACTCATCACTTACACAAATCTGACTAAATACGTATTTATAAATATTTATAGTCGTATGCATGCATGCAAAAGCTAATGTCACAAAATTTCATAACTCAAAACGGTGTTTTACATATGTATTCTCGTAAAAAGTTGCATGACAATCGTCTTCGTCATAGCCATCTACCATTTCAATAAGTGCGTATATGTTTATGCATCACGGAAACATGAGAAATTGAGGCCTCAAATACATGCAAATACATATATGTATGTACGTATATTGCAGATTTCAAAGTCTTGTCTGATAATCTACACGCTTAGAAAACTGGTATTAAATCACAACTGACCGTGTATCATGTATCACTTGACCGGCACGCGCACAGTGTAATAAAGGGCATTACAGTATTGTAATGTTGTGGCATGCAGAAGCAAATTATTACCATGAGGTATTAAATTACCACCAAATCAATACCTATACATGCAGGTTGTATAATACGTATGTCAGCTTACCACATTTTTAACAGTTTGTCTCCGATAAATATTGATATATTTAGACGTATTTATGTAGCATGAAATCATTCGCTGTGATTTTGAGTGTGCATTAACCCGACCGATCAAGTTTTTTATCGACTTTAAAGGATGTATTGAACTACTCGTCTATGGGGCAGTGCAAACAGGATGGTTCATGTTTAGTCGATTAGATTTGATAACATACGACATATTATAGCCTATCTTGTCATGTTATGGACAATTTATGACTTCACCCAAATTGAAAGCACACCTCGTGTTCAGCCTCTTCGACAAAAAATGCGAAATACCCACGTCTGTTACACTCTTAGCAATTTCATTACCAAAATGTTTACCGGGCGGAGTATCTATGTGACTCTACTGCCGTGGTAACTTTTTAATTACCGTGCGGTAACTATTGCTAAAGTTACTGACCCGGGATTGATTCACTATAACGAGGTATTAAAAACAACTCTGCTGAATAACAACAAAAACTCTTTTGCAGTAATAAATAATTACCATTGTTTAATGCCATTATTACTGTTTGGAGTATTATTAATATAATTTGGTATTTATTTTCATTACTGCCTAGGTAATATTAATTATTATTGTGGTAATGATTTCACTAAATTTTGTAGATATTTGTAAGCAATATTTTATTTAAATCATATTTTTATTTACGCCAAAGTTATACAAAATAGTTATTAGTTAAAAGTTCATTAATTATGTAATAAATGTAAAATTTACAATTCCGTCAGCAGTCCCAGGAGACGTCCAAATTGGCAAAATCTCAACAACGGCTTCGGCAAATGACTTCTGATCTCTAGTTACTGATGAATCCCTAAATAAATAAGAAAACGAATTTAATTCATTAATTAGATAGTAAACGATGTCATAAAATAAACTCACCCGTCTAGCTCGATCTGTTTAGCAGCAAACTTTGCAATGACTGAAAGTGAAATTTACATTTTAAAAATGCATGAATTATACCTAAATAAATACTTAAGTAAATTATTTATTTAGCATAAATCTAATTACCTTTAAATTTACTTTAAGAACCAACTTTTTAGCTGGAAAAGAATTCAAAGCAGAAACAAATTTTCTGGAGAGCGAAGTCCTCGTGCTTCTTTTGTATGTTGCGGTGTGAGTGCGCGTTAACTTTATTATCGAGTTTGCAAAATATATTTACCGGCGTAGTAATAAAAATACACCGAAAGTTGAAAGTGAAAGTTTTAGCTCATTACCCGCTAGCTAAATGGTTTAATACGACGCAGTATTATTCATGTTCTCTCACTGCAGTATTAAATTAACATAACTTGGTAACTTTACGTTACCGTTCGAGTTTTCCCGATAATACCAAACAATAATAAATACATTTTTTATATTATAATGAATTGTGGTAAACAATTTTATTACTGTAATGGGAAAATCAATGTCTACCAACCGTTCGGTAATAAACGACTTTGCATTTTTATTACCACAGTTCTAAGAGTGTATACATACATACGTTTTAAGCAAAATTAGAGAAAAACAAAAGCGTTGTATTTCATTCGGCCATAAACTAAATACAAAAGGAGGGATTAAACATGCACTACGTTATCGCTCTATCCAAACGGTTAAGTAAAATTAAATGTTATAATAAGTATTTTTAGTTTTGAATATTCGCAGTTATCAACGAGAACGATTAATTAATATTTACCCAGACGCATGGGTAAATGTCACGTCTATTTAGACGTGAGATAGATAAATGTGCATACAAGTGGTGCTCCGGACAGCATGTTCGGTGCGGGCTTGGAAGTTCAGTCTTTGTTGTAAGACGTGTACATACATACATATATTTTATGACTTCTCACAGAAAATAAGTGAACAACAAAACGGTCATATTACATCCACCTTTTCGTTACTCCACTGCTCTAATCTACATAAATGTTGCGTGTAATCATGTCTTACACTCGGACTGCAATACTTATTTATGGAACTCATGGATGACCCTTTATGTAAGGAATTCCTCAGATCTCTGGCCAGGCGTGATTAATTCTTGACGCAATTTACATAAAAACGTATGTATGTAATATTTACGTATGTACATATGTGCATAGTTAAATAAAATAATACTTATTGTGAGTATTATTTTATTTAACTATGCACATATGTACATACGTGCCCTACCAAACGTATAAATTTATTTAGAGCAGATACGTTCGACTCAAAATCAGTCATCACAAAGTCATCATTGAGTTTAGTTCATAATTATCAGCTTTTTGGATAATGTAATCTAAAAATTGTAAGTTTTCAGTTTCAATTTTCAAAAAGCACTTCATCAAATTTGCATAAATCTTAAATTTATCCGACCATTGCCTAAATTCATTGAACCTTGGCAAGAAACAGAAATCTTAATGTAAGTATTTTACCTTAAGATTTTTTTCTTTTTTAATAATAAATAGTGGCGAATACATGGACGGATTTGGATAATATATGCAAATATTTGGGAACTTTACAAAAATATAAACTCCATCAAACTCCAACCAATTGGCTCCTCGTAACTCGAATTGTGAACCAGACAATTTATAAAACCAGAATTTACATACATATTTACATAATCTTTTGATCTGACCACCTCGGTTATTGTGCGAATTCAAGTATTTGTAACCAATAGTATAAGACATATTTCTTATAATGTTGAGCGTTTCCTGTTCTTCCGTGAAGTTTAAGTTGAATAGGGTTCCAAATGCAGGACAACCCGCATCGTCAACAAGTTCCCTCCAGACGAAGTTTCTATTTCGAGGATGCCCGTCTACCTCCGTAGATCATCCAGGTGGAAATCAACCCGTTCCAGGGGCAGATGATACAAGGGGTGCCAACAGGTTCCTTCAAGGGCTGTAAGTCCAGTTGCATGCATCTGCATAATTCTAAAATGATAAAATTAATGCATGCCAATATTCCGTGTAATTTAATGCCGTTTATTTTTAAAAAATTTGTGTATGTAATAAAATAATAATATATATGCATGTGTGCATGCAGGACGCTGGATGTGTTTCATTCCGCGGGAAATATGGACGTAGAGCTACGGCTTGGAGCTGTATCTTCGAATTATTCATTCAGTTGCGGCTGCCCCCGCAGTGCTAATAATACAAAACCATTCGATCGCGTCCGTCTTCAAGATATCCGAGATGCTTAAATCCAAACATATTTTGAAAACGAGGCCGAAATTTCATCAATATTTTGTGGTTTGTACACATACATATAATTTCTTGTTCATCTTTACACAAATACATACATAAGTACATCATTAATATCTTTCAGTTCGGGGGGATCCGTCAATCTGTCCTGTTCCAAGCCCTTTCTGCCCTTGCAATAATGCTGCAAATACATTTTGTCTGAGAGGCTCGCTCTGTCCCCTCAACGTTTTCGAGAAATATATCCAACAAACCGAGAATGGCGACCAGTTTGTAGTTTGCTGCTTTGCGAAAGCCAATTTTTGCACGGAGCCACACCTCGTGACTGAGCAGGATTTTGAAGAACCACTCGCCCAAATGAACGCCATGATGGGGAAGAAACGGTCAGCTAACTATTCACATTCGTTGCTTTATTTAGTGCGCAATAAATTTATGAATAACGAGTGAAAATTATCTCAAAATTTTTGAAATGCATACTGAACAAGTATTTATTCATTTCATTTTCGTGAAGATTGAATGAATAATTGTATTCATTATTAACTTATCTCGAATACATTTGTATATTGAGAATTAATTACGAAGAAAAATGTGTTTTAAAATTTTTAATAAATGAATAATGAATGAATATTTTTCTCGATTTTTTAATTGAATAAATTTTGAATTAAGAAATATTGAACAGGTATGATGACGATACGGATGTCACGCTCGTCTGTCCCAGTACTGGGACAGAATTCCCATGCCATAAATTCATTCTGTCGGGACAAAGTGAAGTGTTCAAAGCTATGTTTGCGTCCAGTTGGAGTGAGGCCAAGACTAACAAGGTAGAACTGACTGGTGTTCAGAACATGACGGTGGATGCCTTGTTGAACTACATGTACAAGGGGGCCCTGGAAATACCGTTTTCCAGAAGTGATGTGGCCCTTGACCTACTAAAGGTGGCACATCAATACGAAATTCAGCCATTGGTCGATAAACTTTTGCTAATTTTGGAAAATGAGGACCTGGACAAGATTCCTGTTTCTACGGCGATCAATATGTTTTCGTTTGCTTTAAAACTACAAGATCAGGATAAATTTTTGGGACTGATGAAGAAATCGGTCGTGATAGTTAAAAGGTGAGTCTGATACAACAAATATAGTCTATCCACGGCAAGTTGAACCCGGAGATATGGAAGACTAAATCCCGGCCCATGCTTATTAACGTTGAACTGAGTTTAGTCTCCCATATCTCCGGGTTCAACTTGCCGTGGACAGATAGTATATACTACAATCAGGGTATGCTACCTCAGGTTTTTGGGGTTTTGTGGGTTTTAGTGGGTTTTGCTACAGCAATACCCACGGGTAGTCGGGGTAGTCGGGGTTTTCAAATTTAATAAAGCATTATAACAGGGCATTACTAATAAGTCTGATGTTAATTAGCTATGAAAATTAAATTATTAAGCTTTGTCTAATTAATAATGTATAAATTATTTAATAATAGCTTTGTTGAGAAATTACTTAAAAACCAGATTTAAAAAAAATACATGAGACACAGACTCAGTTTACCCCCAAAAACCCCGACTACCCTCAAAACCCAGGTAAAACCCCTGGGTATGGGTTTTCAATAGCAAAACCCCGGGGGTTTCCTTACCCTGACTACAATCTGCTTTTGATTATTCAAATGACGATACTCTAATTTATTGATACTATTTGCTGTTACGTATTCTCAGAAACGTTAAAAGTTTGGGTGATCATCCCGACTTTGGAGATCTCTTTTTGGAAAATGCATCCCTCGCGAAACAACTGTGTATCGAAATTGGCAAAATTTGAGGTGGCTAGACATGTGCATCATATTTACATATATTCAAATTTCCATAGAATGGTGGAGTTCTTTTAAAAATTACTATGATCTTTCTTAATTGCACAGATTTTTAACGACATATTTTCATAACAAAAACCTCCACAATTTATCACATGTCCATAAATTTATGTATGTACTCCAATAATTCTATAATTCGATAATTTTATAATTCTATAATGCACGTTTATGCACTTAAATACATTTTTTGTTTAAATAAATACATTGGTTCTTTCCTAAACCTTTTTCCTCAATTTACAGTGTATCAAACAATTGAGTACACGGTAAAACGGCTTTTCATTTAACTGTTAACAATTTTCTCCACAGCGATTAGTAATATACAGAAAGTTTATTATCTAACGGCAAATTTAATGCTGAATCCAATTCTGACAAGCATTTTTCGATACATCAGTCCGTTTGTCCAGTAGTAAATTGACAACCCAAAAATTTATAAATATGAAGTCAAAAAAATGAGTACACGGTAGGATATTTATGTGTTTTATAATTAACAACTTTAACCTAACAGGGTGTTTAGCCACATTTAGCTTCAATAACAGCTTATATTCGTCTGGGCATGGATTCCGACAATTTTTTTGTAAAATCTGGGTGAACTCCTCCCATGCTCCTGAAATAATAGTCTTCAAGTGATGCTTGGTAGACTTAGTCCTTTTGGCAATTTTGTGTTCGAGTTCGCACCACAAATGTTAATTGGGAATTAAGTCGGTGATTGGACTGCCCAGGGAAGCATTTTAATCTTCTTGTCTCGAAACCACTTGGTCCCCGTCTTCGCATATGTTTAGGGTCCGAGTTTTGTTGAGAATAGTAATCGCCCCCGATTTTCAGGTTTCGAAGGGATGAGATCAAATTTTCTTTCAAAATGTCCAAAATGACCACCTGAGTCATAATTCCGTCGATAAAGTGCAATTTGCCAACAATGTTCCACGCCAAGGACCCTAAGCCATAACGGAACCACCTTCAAGTTTTGCTGTCTTATGGATGCATTCCGGATTTAGTGCTTCATTCAACTTTCTCCATGCATGAACAACTGAAGCTGCTCCAAACATCTTGAACCAGCTTTCCTAGGTCCACATGGCATGTTTCCAATCGTTAATTGTCGAGGCGCTGTGATTTCTAGCCCATTTCAGGCATCGGCGTTGATTACGCTTTGAAATGAATGGTATCTTCATTTTCACTAGGGTATTTAAAATTTTTGCTCGCAGGCTGTTACTCACGGTTGTGGATTAATTGAAAGGGCTAACTCTTAGTTAACTTCTGCACAGTTTTTGGCGCAGATATCCTTCTGCTTGACATCACCTATTTAATGATTCTTCGCTCCAGACGAGCGGTGGTTCTTCATTTTAGACTTTTTCCTGTGCGATTGTCCATGGAGCCCATGACCTCCCATTTGGTGATAATTTTAGCAATTTTCGACTTCGTATGGTTTGTTTTTTTCACAAATTTGGTCACAGCAAAATCTTTCGTGATGAAGAGAAATATTTTTTTTCCTTCCTCATGACAAAACTGATGTGTCGCCATTTTTGCTAAGATCTGTGTTCTACATTATTGAAATACTTCATGAAAGTTCTCTAATTAGCTACGATATACTGTAATTAATTATAATTTTAACTTACTGAAGACTGGAGGTAAGAAACTGAAAATATTTAAACTAACCTTGCAACGTACACTCAATTTTTTGATGTGGCGTTTGGTTTTTCCCGGATAAATCTCACAATTCACGCAGAAATGATTGGTTTGCATGAAATTAGCAACGAAATTTAGATTCCTCATTAAATTCTGTATTATATATGCATATTTCATTGTCAAACTTTCAAAAATAAATAATTTATGCAATGCTGAGTGAAGAGCCGTTGTACCGTGTACTCAATTGTTTGATACACTGTATTTCATAAATCGGATACAAGTTATAATTTTGAACACACAATTGCCCCCAACATTTTTACAACTCCACAAATTAGCAATATCCCGATAAATGCAATCGCCTTATTTACAACGTGATCCCCGCCATTGCACCCATTTCCAGTGCAGTAACATTTCTCCACGGTTCGAACAAATCCCACTTTTGGTAGGATAAAATCATATTGTCGTCCACTGAAGCACTTCTTCCCTTAAAACTCCCCAGGTCAGAGGGGGCGTTTTCACATCCCCGTAAGATGACGAGACTCCCGCCAAATTCGGATCTCCCGCGGTAGGTTACGCACGTCACGTTCCCCGTATTTCGGGCCGTCGTGGCGTTCATGGTGTGTCGGACACTGGCTAAAAAGGAAAATGTTTATCTAGTTATTTAAGTAGGTAGAATTTCATGGATTAAATTTATACGAAATTTCGTGCCGAGTTTACGAAAAGTCTAGTATGAAGTCAAGTCACGTTAGTTTTTGTAACCCAGTTACTTTTCCAAAATTTTGAAAGCCAATTTAATGAAGTCTCAAGAACACGTAAGCACGCCTGATTTACTAAGGCATGCATATAGTGAAGATTTACATGTGATTTTCGTTCGTAATCTTTGCAGAATTTGGAAACCGGAATCAAATGTATAACGCAATTTTCTAGGTTACAAATGTCGACGTGAGTTATTTCATACATGTGTTTAATCAATTTTAACACGAATCATGCAACACATAATATCCCATCACAGAGCGTACTAAGATGTTGCTAATGTATGTATGTACATATGTATTTATTTATTTGTTTAATAAGTTTATTAATATTCATCACTTAAACCCAATTAAATACGTACACACTTAAAAATAATGTAACCCTTTAAAAAAAGTAAATGCAGTCTCAATTTCATATTAAAAGTGTAAACTATGCCCACTCCAGAATAAGGCCATCCATTGTCCATATTGTGTCATCAAGAATTTTAGCACCCACACTACCCAACGTAAACATTAAGAGATAAGGAATTTTAATCCAGGAAAGGTAGGAAGACCTAAACCATTTATGAACAGGTGGTACATTTCCATCAAAACTGGCTTCTCAATGTGTGACAGGTGCATGCATACATACAAACCATTGTTGCCAATGGCAACTTGCCATGGTAACAATTTTGGATAAATATCTGACTGTTCACTGGTTTATGTATGTCCACTTCAATTGCATTACATCTTGATGCCGCAGCATTTCATACCCGCAGGTCCGATCTTGTGCATGCAAAAGGTATTCTGATATGTATATGTACATATGTGCACTACTTTATGTTCATCACCTTGTTTTTCTCATCTTGAGCATTAGTTCCTTCTGACTGGATTAATCTCGTGCTACTATATGCACAGATGTTTCCAATTTATTGTAAAATTTAAACCCTTTGCCATACATAAATATGTTTGTTTTTAGTTGAAGCTGGAGTTACATATTTTGCTGATATTCGGGAAATACGCAATCCATTAACGTTATTATTTCATCGCAGCGAATATTTTTTATAAACTGGAATTTTTCACGAAAATTTCTCCGTACACTCTTAAAAATAATGTTAACCTTTTCAAAAGTAATTGCGTTTGCAATTCTACATTGAATAAACGTTACTAAATTCTGAGTAAGTTTAAAAGGAGAAAGGAAGTTTAAAAGGTTACTCTGGGTTTAGTATGATTTTAATACCAATTTTGCGTATCAATCTCAAAAATATTTATTCTCAAAAATCACCAAATGACGATGCAAGTGTGGCATCGAAAGCTTGTAATAAATTGGTTTATATCAAAAACCATGTTTCCCGAGCATTCGTATGATTTACTTAACATAAAACTTCATTTGCATTTGAAAAGGTTACATTATTTTTAAGAGTGTACCTAAAAAATCTTGTGAATTCAAGTATTTATAACTGGAACATAAATATTTAAAATGTTGAAAATTTCCTGCTCGTCTGTAAAATTTAAGTTGGAACGGGTGCTAAGAATAGGACAAAATGAGCCCTCATCGTCAACTGGTTCCCTCCAGAGCAAATTTATTTTTCGAGGATGTCCATCAACAATTGACACCAAGTCCAGAGTTCGAAATCAACCTGAACAAAATGCAAGTACTATAAACGGTGCAAATAGGTTCCTGCAAGGGCTGTAAGTTCAATCCTGCTTAACTAAATAAAATTACTCAAATCAATGCGTACAATAGATTATAATATTGCGGAGAAAATGGTTAAACGTGATGGGTTTGATCTGAATTTCAGTCCGCTCTCAATGTTAATCAAGTGGGCACGTTTTTTGCTGAACGCTTAATCACTTTCCCCGCAATAGTGTGCAGGTACATACACATAGCCAGATGCGGAGGGGGAACGTGCATATATTGTGGCATGAAAAATGTGGGTGGATGATTTTGAGTCGCCCATCTTACTCGTGTTAAGCCACAGATACATATGCAGTTCACATATGTATGTAGATCCCCGATCTCAAATCACTCTAATGCTAAAAACCTTGCACAATTTTGTGAAATCCTGCCTGTCGTATACAAATCGGCGTTTTCCGATGACGTAATATATGAACGTCCTCAGGTCCTAGCGGATGGATGCCAGTAACGCCGGAGATCTGCGCATGGAAACTATAGTTTACGACTTAAGGTCATTTTTTAAATAAGAATTTGACCAAAATCTTAGTTCTCTACTTAGTAAAATTGCCGATAAACTTGTAGCGGCGCACCGAGAATTTTACCCGGTTGCGACGGCGCTTAGAATATTTAGTGATTTGATTTAATTTGATTTAATTTGATTTAAACCTTTATTCACGTGTTAATAGTTATCAGTTTACAAAACTGGTGACAGCGTCAGGGGCGTGGAGCTCTTATCAGATTTAATGCAAAGTCTTAAATACGTAATTTGTTTATGTATATGCAGGACGCTGGACGTGTTTCATTCCGCCGGAAGTCTGGACGTCGAACTACGTCTATACTCTGATCCTGCAAGTTCGAGTTGGAACTTTGCTTTGGGATGCAGCTACTGTAACAACACTAGTAGAGCTGCACCCGATCGCGTCCGTCTCGAAGAGATCAGAGATGTTCAGATAAACACATATTTCGAGAATGATTCGGGAAGTTCTTCAACCTTTAGTGGTTCGTATATACATTTACAATTTCGTACCTTTTGTTTTATTACCAAGTTTACATAAGTGCAGAAAGAAAGGTCGAAGGTTAACTAAATGTTCATAGGCATGGTATTTTTTATTAATATCTTTCAGTTCGTGGGGATCCATCAAAGTGTCCTTTTCCTAACGCTCTCTGTCCATGCAATAATGCTGCCAATACGTTTTGTCTGAGAAGGCCACTCTGTCGACTCAGCATTTTCGAGAAGTACATCCAAGAAACCAACAATGGCGACCAGTTTGTACTTTGCTGCTTTGCAAGTGTCAATTTTTGCACGGAACCACATGTCGTGTCGGAAAAAGATTTTGAAGAACCACTCACCCTGCTGAACACCATGATGGAGAAAAAACGGTCAACCTGTGCCGATTATGAGGATAAGGATATCACACTCATCTGCGCCAGTACTGGGACAGAATTCCCTTGCCATAAGTTCATTCTTTCGGCACAAAGTGATGTCTTCGTGGCTATGTTTGCGTCAGGAATGATGGAGACGGAGATGAACAAGGTAGCTCTGACGGGCGTTCAGGACGAGACGATGGATGCTCTGCTGAGCTACATGTACAGAGGGAGCTTGCAAGTACCGTATTCTAGAAGTGACGTAGCCCTTGAGCTACTTCAACTGGCACATCAGTACGAAATTCATTCATTGGTCGAAAAACTTTTGAAAATTTTGGACAATGAGGAATTAGAGAAGATTTCGGTTTCCACGGCAATCAAGATGTTTGCATTTTGTATAAAGTTGCAAGATTTATCTGAATTTTCAGGATTGATGAAGAAATCGGTTGTCATTATTAAAAGGTGAGTCGGGTAGGCTTGCAAATTTTTTTGGTTTTGTTATTGAATTATTTTTTGTCGCTAATTTCTGTTGCTCATTATCAGCAATGGTGAAACTTTAGAAGATCATCCAGACTTTGGAGACCTCTTTCTGGAAAATCCATCCCTTGCGAAGCAACTGTCTGTCAAACTTTGCAACACGTGAGGTACACACATAATTTTCCTGCTAAAAATGCTGAACTGCTTTTAAAAACTGCTCTGACTATCAGTGTCAATTAAATGTTCCAAGTTCCCTAGTGTACCAAGTCAATAATTACAATTACTTACAATTACTTAGTTTATGAAAAATAAATGAGTAATTAAATCATGCATATCAAAATTTGGGGCAAATATTCCGGGGGGGATTTACTCATAAGAACGGTGCGTCCTTCTTTAGTTGTCATATACGCATCAATTTATAAATAATTCTGGGAGTGATTTTTTTGTTCAAATGAATACAAAATAAATCGCGTCTTTTTGAAACCTCTTATTATTTTTATTTCACCAGAATTGTTATACATACATAGCAACCAACTTATTTATGCATTACTCTGGTCACACAATTCCGCCAAACATTTTGACAACTCCACAAATTAGCAACATCCCGATAAACCCAATCGCCTTATTTACCACGTGGTCCCCGCCATTGCACCCGTTTCCAGTGCAGTAACATTTCTCCACGGTTCGAACAAATCCCACTTTTGGTAGGAGAAAATCATATTGTCGCCCACTGAAGCACTTCTTCCCCTTAAAATTCCCCAGGTCAGAGGGGGCGTTTTCACATCCTCGTAAGATGACAAGACTCCCGCCAAGTTCGGATCTCCCGCGGTACGTTACGCACGTCACGTTTCCAGTATTTCGGGCCGTCGTAGCGTTCATGGTGTGTCGGACACTGGCTGGAAGGGAAAATATTTATAAACTTGTTGAAGTGGGAAGAATTTAGTGGGTTAAATTTATACAAAATTTCGTGTCGAGTGTATGAGAAAGTTACGTTAATTTTTGTAACTTTTCAAAATTTTGGAAGTCAATTTTACTTCACCAAGTCTCAAATTTATACATACGTAAACGTTCCTGATTTGATGAAGTATAAAAGAAAAATTTTAATAATCTGATATTAGTTCGCAATCTTTCCAACATTTGAAAACAGACTAATAAATAATACATACGAGTTTGCGAGTTGCAAATGTCGACGTGAACCTTTTCATTCATAATTACATATCTCATGATGGCATTTATCCATAAAATTATTGTAAAATCTCGAATAATTATTTCAAATCTTGTTCAAAATCATGCATAATTACCAGCCACATTAATGTCGCCAAATCCGAAGCAATCCGTCCGCAAATAACTTGGCGGGATGGGGGACTTATCACACCCAGGGGATGACATGTTTGAGTGGGGTGGATCAATATGGATGCACGAGTAGCACTTAATGTCTAAATATTGATGGAAAACCATAAAAATTAAAAAATTTGAGTTTCTGATAAATTTAATAAATGATTTTTTTTCTTCAAAATTTTACACATTTTAATTAATTATGTATGTACATGCCTGGAGCCGGTGGGGGCGGATTATACCCGCATTGCACGTTATACGGCCAGTCGCAAATCTGCTGAGCTACGTTAAAATGCAGACCGGTGGGGCAAGGCCGGATGACCTGTTGACCATTATCACATTGAATGAAGGTCGAACAGTTAGCCGGGTTGGGGGACAATCTGGTCGTGTCGCATCCTAAAAGGTCAAACAATCTTTTACCGCAACCCAGTAACAAATCGCTACCAAAAAGTATTTACATTATATATTTTTTCCTTACTTTGTCCCCACACAGAGGTGCACATTACCAAAACTACGAACGCTGTACAGTTCCAGCTCCACATATTGCAAAACGATTAAATATTTATGTATGAATATTAGCAAAAATATGCAAAATTAACAAGGCTGCTTCCCACAGAAAAGTGTATGCCATTAACTAGATCGGGAACAAATTGCATCGAGAGGAACAAGGTTAATGTGCAGGAAACAGGGCGAGTAGTTACATATTTGTCGATTAATGCATATGTGCATGTGTACTTAGAATTGTGCAATGGATGCATATGTCATAAAAATTAATACCAAGCATTTCGCCAATTTTTGGGATGATATACTTAAATAGTTGGCGAATTCATGGTAGGGTTTTATTCTGTGGCAATAATTCACATGTGCGACAAATATTAGACTAGAAAATGTGTCTCATAAGTTTCTAGATGCCATGAGCATTGTAAAACTTACAACTCTAGTCATAAAATGATAACAAGATTATGTACAAATTTGCCACAAACACAATTAAATAATTACAACATGAAGTACGTTAACATTTTATCTCCTTTCAAGATAAACAAATTATCCAGCTCAATGCCGATTTTTGTCCATGATATCATCCCCCCCTGTCTGGAGAGCTTTGTTGTTTGAATATTTTTCAAATATGATACGATCCAGTTTTATTGAGCAATATTTCCATCCCGTTATTGTGAACATGGACATTAACTAGTATTAAATATGTATGAGTCCTAAATATTATATGGTAAACTTTTCATGCAAATATTCTCATGCAAAAATTACTTAAAAATTTGTCGCTTTAAGGTGTACTACATTACATATGGTAGATACGAAGTAATTTAATTGAATATAAATAAATATGTAAAATTTACATTGTAAATCAACATAATATTCACTGATGACTATCTAAATGTTAAAGAAATTAGGACTTATTTCATAACTTTGTCAAATTTGTTTGTCCTTAATAATTTAATGAAATGCCCACATTAAGCTATTAAAATTTGCATAAGCAGATCATTCCGTTATTCCAGATATCTCTCTACACATTGCACACACGCCATTATGATAACAACATTTTGCCGTGACATAATAATCTATCTCTCACACTTATTCTGTCATCGATAAGCAAGATTGATTCGATGACACAAACTATGTAATTAATTTACGCCCTATTCACTTGAAAAATCCCAATTTAGAGTCCTTGCTCCTTGCAGATCAGTCATATCTTGACGCTCAGTTCGGCACCATGTCGTCGCCCAAGTTCCTCCTGATACTCGTCGCGCTGTCCGCGGTCGCGGCCAGTTCCGCGAAATATTCTGGATATGTTGTGATCCGCGCGACGCCAACGTCTCAACAACATCTCGCCATCCTCCGTCAACTGGACACCACCGGGCTGTACGACTTCTGGGCCGGACCGTTCAAAATTGTTGGACAGAGTTGTGACATTATGGTCTCCCCGAAGCAGAAGGGAGATGTCGTCGCTACTTTGAAGGCAGCCAGGATGTCGCATTTCGTCATGATTGATGACGTCGAGATGTAAGTTGAAATATAAGCAAAGTTAGCATATTGAGAGAGGTGGATACTTTATGTGAACATTGAACATTTGTCTGTCCATGTATATGTACATACATACGTTCGTTCACGTACAAGTTATTATTAAATAAGTCAGAGCAACTAATTACATACCAGTTCATGAATTTAAGCTGGTGCTCTTATGCATTATAGTTTATGTGATAGTCTGTCCGTCTGTCCGGTCATATATCTGTCTACATCATGCATACATAAATATTAAATAAGTCAAAAATACGAACAAGATACTAATTAAATTTCTAGTCATTTGACCCCATAAGTTCCATCGAATATTGAATTTTAGTCCGATATTCTGTCTCGGTATACATCTCTCCCGCCACTTTCTTACATCCGGTTACCGATCTTTATAGTTTATCTTGATAAATTACAGATTACTCCAAGATGAACGAAACCGTTTGGACGCTAAGCAGTCAGGAAACATGACCTGGACCGAATATCACAGAATGGACACGGTACATAAAACATTTCGTCGTCCTAATTCATAAAAGACCTAAGTGCAGTCGATGCTCAATTCAGAAAAGACCTAAGTGCACAGAAAAAAAGTAAAAAAAGACCTATGTGCAAGTATGTATTTACATATGGCTAAATCGCGCGATATATATGAAAAATCATTTTGGCAAGATTTAGCCATAAGTAAATACATACTTGCATATAAGTCTTTTTTTACTTTTTTTCTGTGCACTTAGGTCTTTTCTGAATTGAGCATCGACTGCACTTCGGTCTTTTCTGAATTAAACACGGACTGCACTTAGGTCTTTTCTGAATAAAGCATCGACTGCACTTAGGTCTTTTATGAATTAGTACGACGATTTCCAAAAATTCTTCACCACAATTTAAAATTATTTTAACCAAATTTACTCCCCAGATCTACGCCTGGATGGACGGCCTCGTCGCCGCGAACCCAAATCTCGTCTCTATCGAAACTTACGGCTCATCAAATCAAGGCAAACCCTTAAAAGTCCTTAAAGTTTCGACCGGAGGATCTAACAAACCCGCATTCTGGATCGACTCGGGTATGACACCTTAAGTAATCATCCTTATCACCACTCCGATTAGCACCACCTTATCATATACATTCCATCCAGCCATCCACGCCAGGGAATGGATTTCCCCCGCTGTCAACACCTACATCATGAACGATCTAATCCACAACATCAATCATGCCAATCTTCGAGCCGGGATAGATTTCTATTTTGCCCCCTTGATCAACCCCGACGGGTACGAGTACACCTTCACGACGGACCGGATGTGGCGTAAGAGCAGGTCGACAAACGTCGGCAGCGCCTGCATCGGGACGGACGTCAACCGAAATTTCGGCTTCAAATGGGGCGTCGACAATGACGGATCGAGTCCAAACCCGTGCACGGAGACGCATCGTGGCGCTGACGCCTACTCAGAACCGGAAGCTGATCATGTCAACAATTATATCAGCGGGAAGGCCAATTCCACCAATTGGACCGCTTTTATCACGCTGCATTCATATTCACAGCTGTGGATGAGTCCGTACGGCTGGTCGGATCAAGCAGCTGATCTTCCAGCTGATTTGGCCGAATTGGTGGCTGTATCGAATCAGTGTGTCGCCGCGTTGACGGCGGTGCATGGGACGCAATACCAGACTGGAGCGGCGAGTCAGATTTTGTGTAAGTAATGTGGGGTAAGATGAAAGTTGAGGGGAAATATGAGATTTGTATTGGAAATATATTCGTAGAAATTTGCATTCACTGAAGTTTGAGATTTTTACGTGATAAATGAATGAATTAATACTTTATTGATATATGGCCCTCATCAAATTCAATTACATATTTTTACGTGATAAATATATCAGATTTTGTTTGGGAAATATGAGATTTTTTGTATGAATTTTTTAAAGATTTTGACACCAGATATAAGATTTGTTTAATGGGAAATATGAGATTTTCCGTGCAAGATTTTATACACTTTGCCATATTATATTCTTTTATTGGAAGTATGATATTCATTGTGGAAAATTTGCAATTTTTAAAGGCAAACATATTCGAAATTATGTGTAGAAAAATTGCAAAAATTTTAGCCACTAATCCCGCTTAAAATTTCAGACAAGTCCAACGGTTCCAGCCGAGATTGGGCTAAAGGTGACGGAGGCTTCAAATGGGTTTACACCATCGAGTTACGAGACACCGGGCGCTACGGGTTTGTCCTCCCGCCAGAGCAGATTCTCCCCACGGCGCAAGAAACCTGGGCGGGAGTTCAAGTCTTGGCGAGACACATCCTCACCAAATAAACAGAATACATACATGCAAATCATATGCAAATTAATTGATTGTAAAGAATTACTTAAATTCTGTCGGCACCATTTCTTACTAGTAATAAATAATTTCATGCAATACTTTAGTTTTTTTATTGTAGCACTGCTTTCGCTTGGCATAAATTTGCATACCCTTTACTATTTGCATCGAACTTTAATTATATAATATTAATTGCATGATAAACTGTCAATATAAAATGTGTAGGTTTGACACAACATGTTACTAGTGAACATATGCAAATATTTATCTCGCACACTTGGGCACTGCGTATTCATTTATTTGCCATTATCCTTTGCGTATACGAATAAGCAGGACTCTTCTCATCATAACCAAGTAATCGTTATCGAGAGCTTATCAGTATGCATAAACTGATAAAGGTAGATGAGTAAACCTTAAGTATTTAATTGACGTATTGTATTGTTCATATGATTTACGACCATGACATACGCAGATAATTAATTACCACCTGGGCATTCCAAGCTTACTGTTTAAATAATAACTTGGGCTCGTTATATATGTACATGCATACGCTCTTTTAGTACTTACACACAATACACTTACACACATAAAAAAACACATCGTCCGTTAAGCAGTATATCAAAACCGTACATTCAAATGTATTCAGCACAGGCCAAAAAATAAGGTAAATAAGGCAAAATTACCGACTTATTTAAGTACAGCTGTTATCAATTTTCGCAACATTTGTACTGTATTAAGCATGTTAATAATATGCAAGAGTATACATACATATGTGAAACTCCATCCGTTGAAAATTGAGAAATTCTTCGTCAGATTAAATCACCACAATAATTGGGCTAAGAAATTTCAGAAAGAACACATTTTTACGTGCTTTACACTAAATTTTATCTAAACTAAATTTTATCTAAGATACAACATTTTATACGAGTCTTCTGCACAAACATCGGCAAATTCTTAGTACGGTCGATTTTGACACGGGTGGTTTTCTTCAGTTGAGATCAAAACAAACTGAAAAAGTGTATTTGTTCCCTTATGGTATAAATATTCTCTTGAACATATTTATATTCAGGTTGTCCGCCTGCCTAGAAAATGTCCAAGGCCGAAGGGATCCTCGAAGAGCTATTGGAATGTTGCATATGCCTAGAATTGTGCCAGCCACCGATCCACCAATGTAAAAATGGGCATAATATTTGCTCCTTTCACATCCCCGAGATCGGTGACTTGTGTCCAATTTGTCGGGTGCGATACGAATTTGGCGGTTCTAGAAACCTGCTAGCTGAGAATATTATCTCCAACATTTTGAAAAACCGGGAAATAAAAGTGGAGAAAGAAGAGGCAAAAGAAGAGCCAACAGTACAATCTGATGAGTAAGCGAATGAGCTCTGATTTTAAAGTCTTGCAAAGTTTTGTTAAATTTTTAAGACAAACTCTAAATTTTTAAGTCAATTTTCTAAAATATTTTGAATTTCAAAAATGCATATTGTTTGTAGCCAAATTACAGGAGCTGGAGCCCAGGTTCTTCCTCGACCTCCATCTAGAATGGGAACGTCGATATTAACAACTCAGCGGACGCTAACTACGAACTCGACTTGGCCAGGGGCCAAACCTTTAAAATCATTGGCTGTGTATTCTAAGCCACCCCCGCCTTCTGAGTTTGCAACGCCTCTCAAGTCGTTGGCTACATATTCACCAACGTCACCTACTGCGACAACGCCAACCTCACCCCTTACTTTATTTGGGCCAAGGTCACCCTTTGCGACTCCTGCAACGGTAGGAACGACACAACCGATTTTTCACCGCCCCTTGAAAAATTTTACCTCACGGCCTGCATTGCCTGTGATTCAACCTACGCCAATACAAGCAATGTCGTCCGCGTCACCTTCAACTTCACCAGATTCGGCGCAATCTTCAATTCCAAGCTCACCGGCCCCACTTCCTGTAACGTCATCAGTTTTTCCAATGGTTCCATCAGATTCACCTGTGACGCCACCAGCTGCGTCAGTTACAAACTCACCGGCTCTACTTCCTACAACTCCACCAGCTATTCCAGGTCCAGCGTCATCGGGTTCATCGGCTCCAACGTCACCAGCCCCACTTCCGTTGTTACCGTCAGTTCCAACGCAGCATCGTTTCCAATCATCTGATTCTTCCCCCAATGATGATAAACCGGAAGAGGATCACATAAACGATAATATTGCGTGGGTGAAAGTAGATGGACAGTGGATTGAGCAACGTAGCAATACCACGGTTTCTATAGAAACTAGACCGACCACAGCCGCCACACTGGTACCCGACATCAGTTTGGATACTGTTCGTAAGAAGTATGAAACCCTCTCAAAGGTTCGAGGCATTGGGGTTCTGGTTACGCCATGGCCACCAAGCTCATCAACCATACGTCGTGCGTCAAACGTAATGGGTCAGGTTGAATCGGGCGATGAGAATTTTGAATAAAATACTAGGCATCGAAGCCAAGAAGCGAAGAGATGCATGTACATACATGCAAATTGATGTATAAATGTATGCAATTAATCAATCATTAAAAATTACCCGCCCTAAGTATATAATTGCTGTAAAAATATAGATAGAAGTAGTGGTGATCTGCGTCATAGTCAAAATTATACTTAACTGCATTCAAGAACTTCTAGGTTTCAGGTCTCCAGGGTAACCTTAAGCCCTTTGATTAACCAAGTATTTGTTTGTGAAGAACATGGTCACGTGACTGCAATGAATTAGAAAATCTAATGTCAGATAATAAAAGTATGCAATGCTAAAAATTATTCCTAAACATTATTAACTCCATAATTTATACAACTTGCATGCATATGTTTCAATTAATAAAATTTCTTAATTATGAAATCCGCGTGAAAATTACCCCATGAAGAAAAGTAAGATGGGAAGCAATTAATAACTGTCCACCGACAAGTACATAGAAACGCTTTGTGTTTTCAGTATATACCGATGCACCAAATTCACGATCAGTCAGTAAAATTGGACCAAATTTCAAAATTAGTACAAAGATTTTTGGCTCGTCCAAGTGTCCGTAAGCTACAAAAAAATCGATAGACCAGAATCGTCATAAAAGGGGACGACGTCAAAGTTTGTTAAGACCCTGGTACATACGTATAAAGTATGTACATATTTATGAAAGTTCTGTAATTAAGCTTGTATGTACATAGGAGTAGGCAAGTTAGTGCCAAGGGTTTTGCTATTAAGCGAGAGTCGTAATTGAATATATCCAGAATTAAACTATGTACCAATTCATGTAAAGTTTCTGGAACAATTGGAGGTTTAATGGCACTCAAATAAGAAAATATTGTTCCCGTGTACAGGTTGTCCATAATTATGTAACGGCCACCAAGTAACCAAGCTAACATTATCGGGGCGCCGAAAGTCTGATTGCCAAATATTTTCAAACTCTCCCTCGTCACTTGACCTAAGAGAATAGCGGTTATTTGCATCAAATTTAAACCAATGTTTTGCATCGTCTCCACCCAATTTTTCAGATCGCTTCCTGGCTGCGCCATTAAACATATTATCCCACACGAAATTAGAAGTCCCGCCCAGACGGGGCCGCTAAGTGGGAGCAAAAATGCATTCATTCCTTCCAACGCGTGCGGATATTTTGTAATGACAGAGAATTTCGCATATTCAAACTCAACCGAAAAAGGTGTGTAAAATATTGGTTTTCTTGTTAAAAACTTAATCGTTCCCGAAAGTGACTTCCGCAGTGTTACAGCATAGATTGGAGTTTTTGAAATTTTGTTGCCAAGAACCACTGAGAAGTTCAGCTTCTCAATGAGATGCACAATTTTACAGTATCGTAACCACGTAAATTTCCCTGGGATATAGCTCACTCCGCAGTTTATTCTGCTTAAATCGAGATCTTCCTCTACTTCGAGTCCCTTCCGTTGTAAGTTATTGTTTTCTGACCACCAAAATTTACCAAGGTCACGAAGCGGTATCGTATTTATTCGTAGAATTGAGGAGCCATAGCACGCTATACATGGTATAAAGATTTGTCTGGGTGAGGTGAGACAGAAAATAATAAGTTTCGGGTTTCCCGCGTGGTTAAAGTAGCCTTTAACATTTATCGGATTCAATGGTTCATCTGTGTGTTGAAATATATAGCTCGGGTTGAAATACAATAGTACAACGAGGTGAATATTATAGGGTACAACTGTGCCGTACATTGATTTATTAGTATGGCTAATGTCGATAAAGGCTACTGAATCGCGACCCGATCGTGAATGTGGGATGATAAGTGAACTAGCCGATCCTAGTACTTGGAGACGTGTGGCGTTCATTAAAATATGATTAAGTGAAATGGGCGAGGTAGGATTCCTGACTAAAATGTCATGGAAATATGGTGGGGGATTATTCCGAATGTTTCCACCCCAGCTAAGAAATCGTAGATTGCATTCGCCAAAATAATTTTGGATTGACCAGATGCTTGCCGTAACAGGTTGCGAACTTATCATAATTAGAAGTACACTGAGCCACATTTTTGCTTTGGAAATCTTGCGAAAGCTTCAAGTGTACAAAATCTTTAGAAACATGTATGTAGCGTACAAATGCTAAAATTTGCTTACGATATGTATAAAATACGGTTGATAACAACCTGTGACCTGGGAATATATGTATTGCTGAACAATATGACCAACTTTAGCATCTTAGAATAGTTACATGAGTAGCACAATAAAAAGCTAAGAACGCAAAGAAATAAATATGATGCTTAAATCCGTTTATCGTCACCGCTAATTCCAAGAAAATCCTATTTGCTAGTCTAACAATTCATCTTGTCACGAAGACAATATTCACATTTTGGGAAATTGATGTAATTCTTGTGTACATATGTATGTACCGTTTACCATTTATAAATGATGTAAATGAAGGATTACATATAGAATAATCATAGCGTGTATGTTTTTACTTTATTCAGATTCAGTGTGTTATGAGATGGCGTACTGTACCGGGAGGTTTGAGTGTAAGTGCGCACTTACTTGATCGTTGTTCTTTGTGAGGGAAGCAAGAAAGAAAGGGCTCCCAATTTTTCGATTTGTAAATTGTTTTGAATTGAGAATGATTACATTGTTTTGAGTAATAAATAGTCTTAACGGTATCTTTTTCACGACACAGCCTTTATTTGGAAAGTGTGTTCTCGACGGTTAGTTTAGGTTCATTTTCCGTGTTTGAGAAGTTGATTGAGTATCGAACAGTAAAATTATGTTTGGTCATGTTTTATGGGCTGCTAGCCTAAAATATTTAGTGCTGAAATAAGGCATACAAAATTTATGTTTATAATTAGAAGTAAATTTTGACAAATTGTCACGAACATGGGCTGGACTTCATCCAACGTAATTTAGTTTTTCGTGCCAACTATTAACAACTTATGGTAGACTATTTTTCTCGAAGTTCTAAATTAAGTATATAATACTTTTATGTGGCCTCTCATATCGTCAAGAAAGTATTTATATTTATCTATGCATATTAATCCAAGAAATTTCTGGATAATTCCGTAGATTTCGTGTTGTATCAAGCACTTAAATATTATTTGCAATTCAGCAATTCCGATATAGGTCACCATTTCCATTACTACAGAAAATAAACCGCGGCAAACAAAATGTATCAAAGAGGTAAAAACACTTAAATTGTCATTTTGACAATTTTAGTTGTTTAAATATTCACGTGAACCTAGGCATTTAAAATAAAGTAGTTGATCATGTACATATGAGAACTATTGTTTATCGTCCTATTAATTCGAAAACGACGTAAGTGCAGTCGTGTGTCAATTCGAAAAAGACGTAAGTGCAGTCGTGTGTTAATTCGAAAACGACGGAAGTGCAGTCGTGTGTTAATTCGAAAAAGACGTAAGTGCAGTCGTGTGTTAATCCGAAAAAGACGTAAGTGCAGTCGTGTGTTAATTTGAAAAAGACGTAAGTACACAATAAAATCTTGTAAAAGGACATAAGTGCAATTATAATTTTAACAACAGGTCAGTTTTTCAAAACTAATTATATTTAATTAAGTTTAAAATTTAAATTTAAATATGTATATTATATTTATTGAAGTAAATCTTTCATCTTCATCAATAATTCCATTAGTAAATAAAGTAGCGCAAAAATGCTGAGAATGCGATACAGCAAAGAAAACAAAGATTGCCGAATCTGAATTATCTAAAAATAACAAAATAATTGAGATTTCCTCATTCTATCTTGCCACTCTGAAGAATAATGCATCTTACATGTTTTACTGTTTTATCAATCCTAATTAATAAATCAATGTTACTGTTTTATATCTCCTACGTGTTTGATTAAATATTTGTAAAAATCTCACTTTGCCCTGACCACACCCCCTGGGCTCGAGGGGGTGTGGCACAACTCGGGAACACTTACTTTTACTCTATTTCATCCATGGATTCAATTTTTGTAAAAGCCTCATTTTGCTACGACCACACCCCATGGAAGCGAGGGGGTGTGGTCCGATTGGCCCCAAAATATGACGGGATCCTCCCCGTAGGGTCATACGTATGATTCCGCAAACCGAGATTTTGAAATTTCACAACCAATAGTTATATATATACATTCAAAATATATATAATTTAATTTTTGACAAACTCCAAAGAGTTACATACTTTCATGCATAAATATTTTGCACATTCCAATATATAAATATGTATTTAAACTTACGAAGTAATTTTGAACACAAACTGACCAGTTGTTAAAGTTATAATTGCACTTACGTCCTTTTACAAAATTTTATTGTGTACTTACGTCTTTTTCAAATTAACACACGACTGCACTTACGTCTTTTTCGGATTAACACACGACTGCACTTACGTCTTTTTCGGATTAACACACGACTGCACTTACGTCTTTTTCGAATTAACACACGACTGCACTTACGTCGTTTTCGAATTAATACGACGTTATGTATTTAAATTTCTGATGTGAACATTGATCACTTTAATTCTCCATTTTTCAGTCAAACACTTTTCACATGCGATGCAACACAAGTTTATTGATACATACATACAAATAATATGCCATTTAAAATACGGATTGTCAAAAAATCATTGAGGACATTGATATAGATAAATAAGAATAACAGCTTTTTTGAGGTCCTTCCTAACATTAGAAAGTTCTAAATTAAGGATTAAATATCATGCATTTATGTAAAGAGTGCCCGCATATTGTAAGTTTCAGAGCGTTTTACACCAGCAAAAATGAATGTGTAAATCAAATGTAATGAAACTTCTGTGTTATACTACACTCTAAGAAACCCGGTAACTAATTTATTACCAGACGGAGTATCTATGTGACTCTACCGCATGGTAATTTATTTAATATTGAGTGGTAGAAAATTAGTTACCAACGGGTAATATTTTCAAATTTAGCGGCCAGGGTTATTACCGGTTTGGTAACAAAATGTCTACCACTCAATAATAAATAAATTATTAAATTACCATGCGGTAGAGTCACATAGATACTCCGCCTGGTAATAACTTAGTGTAGCGATGAGTACACCGACGTTTTTCAGTCTTTCATTGGTCCAAATACATCTCCCATCCCGGTGGAAAGAAGCCTTTGTCGCGTACCTCTCTCATAAGCGGTTTTCCACTCATTTCGCCAACTTCAATGACGGTCTTCTCCATAACCCGCCAAAATGTTTTCAAAAAACTTGGTGGTCCTTTTTTAATAAGAGTATTATTTCTTCATTTATCGCCAAGATCTTTCAATGGGTCGAAACTGAGGTACTTCTGGAACGTTTTCTTCTGGGG